AAGAATTTGTCAAGGATTCAAATACCTGATAAAACTAAGGGCTCCAATAAAGAAAAAAAAATATCAGTGGCTTTAACATGTCTAACAGGTGAAAATGTATCAAGAAATGCCAAACACAACGTAGCTCGTGGTTGGCAATGAATTTGTTAACTAGGCTGAAATCATGTGAAGGAATTTAAAAAAATTTTTTTTTTTTTTTAGATAAGAAATTTAAGGTTTTTAGAAATAAAGAAATATTTCCTAAAATAATAAACATTTTTTTTAGCTGCTCTGAATACAAAACAAGCAACATTTCAATAGATGAAGTATAAGCAAAATTTTTATTATTAAACGGAGTTTTGATGGTTTCATTTCATATTACCCTGTCATAATTGTGTTTCATAAGCATTGATGTAGAAGAGGGATTCACATAAAAAAATACCAGGTCTGAATTTAATTTAACATTAATATAGAACTTCTGTTTTAAGAAGAGTTAATCTGTGGTGACCCTGGTGTGTATTGGGCTTACTCTCAAAGATACCAAAGTAGGTTTTGCATTCAATGCCACATTAGAACATTATGGGCCAGTTGTGTCAGTGTTGACCTTGAAGCTAACCTTATGGAGCCAGTAAGTTCAGAATTAGACCTCAGAGGATGTCAGTGACTGTCCCAACATATAAACCAGGAGTCAACACAGCTAAACTTAGGGTGCACACACACATACAAGTCAACTGGATGACTGCAAGTTATATAAATGCCCCACCTGAGAGGAAAAGAAAGAATTACTCATCGTCAGAAGATGATCAATGTTCAAAAACAGTCCTCAAAACGACACACCTTCACAATGACATTAATTGGACCAGAACTGGATAAACAATAATTTTACATATGGAATATTTAACCTCGTAGATGTTACTAAGAATGTTAAACTAAAACTTTGGTATTTAGCTTACAGCATTAGTTAGGAAGTGAATTTAGCAGATTATTATAAAAATGAAATAAGTTTGATCCTCATGGAAACTCTACTATTGTGATCTTGTGCCAGGAAAAGCTAATCTCAGTCCTTGCACATGGATATTTATTGATTTTAAAGGCTAAATGCATCCCAAAGCCTCGAGTAACATCTGAACAATATCTTACATAAGAATGATGTCTAGCATTGAGAAAATGAATAAAAGAACTTTAAAAAGATTGAATAGAATTTAGTTTGGCACCAAATGGTTACCAATGCACAAATATTATTTGGTAGTGAGAAAGGGTTTAATAGTAATATCTATCAAATTATACCATTTATATTTTCCGAATTTGAATTTAAGGAGGAGTGGGTAGAACAAATGAATGAAAATATGTATCCCAAGTAAAACTGTAACGGGATTTACTTAGAAAACATTTTTATTTGTCAGAATGCTAAGCAAACAATGTTGTTGAATGTGGCTTAGTTAGTATAACATGTTCATGTTATGTGCTACATAACATCTTTCATGGCATATCAAATGGGCCTCCTCTCACTTCAAATAATCTGACCATATAAAAAAAAAAAATATCACTCTTATAGGCCATAATAAAGATCAGGTCATTGATCAACAACCCCCTACTTGTGTGTCCAAGTAAGTTTTGTGAAAACTTTTCAATTTTATTTTTTCTACGATATTTCAAGCATCCTATATGCTAGTGTGTCACACATAGGCCACCAAATATGATATCAATATTATAAAAAAAAAAAAATATATAAATTATAATAAAATAAGCAAAAATTTTCAAATTGGTGAAAAAAGAAAAGAGGGGGGGGGGCTATCAGCTTTCATCAGTTATCTGGATTAGCCATGTTGCAAATGTTTTCAAGCTAATGTTACATTCACAAAATTAAATGTGTCTATCAATTATTTTCTTTTTTCTATTATCTTTGTTAACTTTCACAATTTACCAATCAGATAGTCTTGAGCTCCCACCGACAAATAACTAAGCAAGTCAGCCAACAGTTTGTATCTTTTATATTGGGTTGAAGGTCGAGAAAAAAAAAAAATCTTACCTATTCATTTATAGTTAAGATAATGCAAAAGTTGGTAACTGTTAAAATCTGTTAAAATAGTAAGTAAGGAGGTTAATTTTAATTTAAAAAAATCTTTTTTTTTTCACCGCTAGGAATATGAACATTTTAGTTCAAATAATTCTCCTCTCCCGACAAAAAAAAAAAAAAAAAAAACAAAACAGAAAGAGGACAGAGAGAGAGAGAAAGATGGACAGAAACTAGAACTTTCTATTAAATTTGAAAAATCAAATGTTGTTGCATACATAGCAGAAAAAAAAAAAAAAAAATAAAAACAAAAATTTTGGATTTATCACTGAACAAAAATTTGGATCTATGCAGAGAAGAAAAAAAGAAGAAAAAAAAAAAAAAAGGAAAAAAATTAGCAATATTTCAAAAGGAATTTTTTTAAAAAAAATTGTTTGTTATATATATATCAATAAAATTAATAGCAAGATATTCTCTCTTCTGTAAGGTCAATTTGATTTTCAATAAAAATAAATGAGAGGTTTTGAAAGGGAATGAAAAAGTATTAAAGACATTTACCAAATATACAGAAATAAACATTAAGAAAACAATATTGGATAATATGGAGATCTGTAAGCACAAACATATACAAATTTGTTAGTCCTAATACAGAAGCCATCAAAAATACAATAGAGAAGTTAGGGAGTGAATCTTTTTCATAGGATTTTGAAATTTGTGTATGGAAAATATTAATTATAATGAATAAACATTTTGCTGTGTGAAATATTTGAGGATCAATTGAGACATATATGATAAAATATAGTTTTAAAATGTGTAAATATAAGTGTAAGATTATATTATATATATATATATATATATATATATATATATATATATATATATATATGAGAGATTTTTTTTATTTAATCTAACATTATTTTATTACATTACTTTTAGTGCGACATCAGTGTTTATTTGTTTTGTTTTTTTATTTTCTTAAATAGTGAAATTAAGGCTGGCTGATATTAATTTTCCTGCTTAAGTAAATAAAACAAAATGTCAAGTTAAACAAGTCTACCCACTAAAAATGTTTATAGTCATAAGAAATTTTATTATATATATATATATATATATATATATATATATATATATATATATATATATATATATATGTTTAATTTGCAATATAACACACAGAGTTTGCATTAAAAATTCCCAGAATACTTACATTTTTGTGTAATTGTACATGCTCCATTTGAATCTGGCTTGATAAATTTTATAAAATCCACAGTTTTGGAGTTATCGACAGTGAAATTTTGTATTCATTCATGTCGTGGGCAGCGATTACAGTCATTTGCATACATTCGCTGCGGAAAGCTACGTGCTGAAAACTACAGAAAGCTAAGCATGGAACTGATCTTTCTTGTCTAAATTTGTCTTAATTACTGCGCACAAGAACTATTTATGTAGACATGCTCAGTTTGCGCATTGATACCTACACTGATAGCTATTTTTCAGCGAATGCCAGTAATGGCTTCCCGCGACGTGAATAAATCCAAAGTTTCACTGTCAATAACACCAAATTGGTGGATTTTATAAAATTTATCAAGCCAGATTCAAATGGAGCATGTATAATTACACATAAATGTAAGTATTTTGGAAATTTTTTAATGAATTTTTTAGGATGCTAAATGCTAAACTGCATATATATATATATATATATATATACACACACAATAAAGAACAAATAGGAAACATTTAATAAATCTTTATCTTATCATTGTTGGATCCCAATCTATATTTGATCCCAACTCGTATGTATGTTTTAATTCTTTGCTCCTGAATGAAGAATATATTTGTAATTATAAAATGGTGCTTATTTGCATTGAATTTATATATTTGTCTAATACTCAACAAGGGACAACCAAATAGGTCATGTTAATAAATTCATGGAAAAAAATCTATTCAAAAACAGAGTTGTCTCCCTTAGTTGAATAATGTTAATTCCTGATGACGAAAGTGTACGCTAATATATTAACGGAAAAAAACATAAGCGTTGCCAAATTGGGCCAAAAATAGCGAATTGGGCTCAATTTGGAATCCCAGGGCTACTAAATGTTGAATCGAATTTCATATGAATTGCCCTGTTTATTTTTTTTTAATAAAAAAAAAAAAAAGGAGGTCGAAAAAGAAGCAGTTAGAGATATTAAAAATTAGCACTGGTTTTTGGCAACTCTAAAAAGGAACATTTTCATTTAAATTTTTCCATTATTACATATAACAAAATGACTCATGCTGGGATTTGATCTTTGCAAACAGAGCTATAGATGCAGATAGTGACATCACTATTGATGAAAGAAAGTCAAAATTTGCAGCTTTGTAACTGAGAGTTTGGGATCAGCTGTAATCAATCATCATAAATGAACATTAGAGAAATTATATAGTCAAAATACATTCAATTTTTTTTTCTTTTTAATTGAAGCTTCATCAGGTGAATGTTTAAATCCCAATAGAAACATGTCCACAAAAGCAACCCGTACCCATATTTAGCAGCAAATAAGGGGATATCTGATGATCCTAATTCCCAAAACCAAATGAAAATTTGTAACCTATTTTGCTTGTTATTTTTTTCTATCTCTGTCCTACAAACTTGTGACATTTGCATATACAAAACAAAACTATTATGGGACAGAGAGAGTAATAAATAACAATACAGCAGAAAGTTGTGACAAGATTTCCAGCGATGGTTGACAAGATCGTCAAGAATTTAATGATTTTAGCAAAGGAAGTTTCCACCTACAGTTTTCATTACCATCACTTGCCCTTGTCCTGAGTCTCTCTTTGACCAGTGGTCAATTGAAATTTGTTTTAAGTTCAGCAGTTTCATAATGAATCTGTCTCCCACATCAGTCAGTAGTCAACCAGTCAGTCAAGTGATCACATATACAAATTAATGGTCTCAGATGCACACAATGAAGACGTCACAACTTTCACACATTTTTTATCTTAAAGCTTCAACATTTTGACATTAATAGAATTTCTTGGCTTGTGCTTCCTTGTTTTGCCTGAAAAAGAAATTAAATCGGTGTAAGTTTAAATAAGGATTTTATCATGTATACTAAGAGATTATATATAAAATTTTACTGGATATTTAACCCCCTGTTAGTACCATGGAGTGTTTGAACAACCAACAAAATGTTTTTCTTTAATATTTCACAAAAGACAAGTTAAAATTTCACAATCTGCCAAGCTGAAAGTAGTTCTTAAGTCGTCTGAATGAAATTCCCTTTTTATTAATGGAATATGAAGGGAATGGGGATAATTTATCCCTGTTTGCATGGCATACAGAGTCTTAGCTAAATTATATATCTTGATTTTAAATGGGGTCTTTGAAAACCCTGTGGCACTAAGACAGGGTTAAACTTTGACTAATTAAAAAACAACATTAAATAATCATGAAGTTATTGTGTGTTGGGGTGTGTGTGTGTATGTGTGTGTGTGTGTTTTGTGCATTGGTTATTGCCACAGAAAATAGAATGAATGTTATAAATTTCTTGTCTTCATTACATCAATGATTGAATTAATTTATTATATGGTTTCTGTGCGTAAGAAATATTTTTCTTAAAAAGTAATACAGCTCTTATAAAATGCTGCTTGATTATGAATAAGTTTGAGATGTTTTGAAATTTTTTTTGAAAAATCAAAACCAGTTATTTTTTTTTTTTTTGGGTGGGTGGGTGGGTGGCAATAAATAAACCAACTAAAAATAAATAAAACACCCCCACTCCATAATAAATAAAAATTAGTTTAAAATGAGAAAACAACAAACACACACCACACACACAAAAACAAAAAAAACAAACACACAAACAAACAAAACTTACTCATGTTTTTATAAAGATTTTAAACATTTACTTGAATAAATAAAAAAGTTTAAGATTTTTATTCTTTCTTTGATCATGCCCCAAATATTAAATAAAAGTATCTTAATAGAAAAATAAAAGAAATTCATCAATCATCATTAAGTTTTTAAATGCTAAACTTTTTTCCATAATAAGAGGCTTTATTACATAGTAATTAAATAATTTCATCTTGGAAATTCATATATTAGTGTATCATTAAGCTGGTTCAGTGGCAATGTATTTGTTATTTTATATTTGCTTGTTTTTTAGCACCCACCACCCTGTGTACATACTGCAACCATTTTAATTTTCTAAAACCAATTTCCAATAGGCTACATTTGAGGGTCAAACCACATGCAAAATAGAAGATATTTTAGGACACTTGTTTTTTTAAAATGGAGCTTTTTACATTATGCAGAACGTATATACTTACTTGTATAAGGCATATACAAAGAGAGCCATTATTTGCACTGATAGGCCTATAAAGAATATTGTTGGAGATATACAGCTGACATGAGGACAGCTGGAACCAAATGGTTGCTAGAAAAGGAAAAATATAAAGATTATAAAAAAAGAAAAAGAAGACTGTTATATAGACTGTCCCAAAAGTTAACTAAGTATTTAAAAATGTCATAAAGGGTCAGATTTTGCATTTTTTTTTCTACCCAGAACTTGGATTAACATAAAAATTACCAATGGAAAAATTCACAAGTGAACAAAAAAAAAAAAAAAAAAAAAAAAAAACTATTTTGGATTTAACCAAACTTCTAGTCACATGATAATTTTATGAAATTACAAAATTTTAAGGCCACCACATTCTCTTGATTATTTTATTTTGGAATACCTTTAGGAGCACGTGTGCATTAATAAATTTCATACAATTCAGCAACTCAAAGATCTATGCAGAAATTTGAAGGCTGCCGCCAGAGTTATTTAAATGCTATTAAAAGAGCGCATCCATGTAAAGTAAAAAAAAAAAAAAGGTAAATAAATAAACAAACAATATTTATGTTGTAGAATTTTTCATAATTAAATGTGAATATATTTCGAGTGTTTGAATTTTCATTCTGTATAAATGTTGAAATTTCTAAATTTTTAAATCCCTAGGAGACTCATGGGACATCCTGTATTTATATCAAATTTTACCTCTTAACAAAAAAAAAAAATAAAGAAAAAGAAAGAAAGAAAAAATATACTACAGCAATCATCTTTAATTAAATTTCATTTATCCATAAATTATATTGTTAATAGAGGAAAAAATTTCTGCCAAGATTAAAATAATGTAAAATGAGTATGAAATGAGTACAATATTGGAAAATACATTCTGGATCCTCAAAAGCTGTATAAAATGTAGGAAGAAAAACAGCAAAGAGAAAGCAAAGAGAAAGCAAAAAGCAAAAAAAAACAAAAAAACAAAAAACCCTCCCATCACAAGAACTGTCAAAATTATGTCTTTTCATAGAGAAAACAAAGTTATCAGTTCAAAAACCCAAATCACATTGACATAAAATCTTTCCTAAAGAGATTTAAGTTGTAAAATCATATTTGCACACACAAACTGATATGAACTTTTTCAGTTACCATTGTTATCAAAAAAATCCATTGAAAATCTGCTTATATTTTATGAAATATTGTGAATATATATGCTTATATTTCAAAAAACATGTCAATATTTTGCATTTGGTCCCTTTTCATCATAATGAAACCTCTTCATTTGCATTTTAACATATTCTTGGGTTCTATTACTTTTCCCTTTTGATATAGTTACATTTGAATTTATCCCAGGGAGCAAAATGGCCATCAAAATAGGGTACAATTGAGTTTCATTTTTATGTAATTCATTTCTATGCTCTATAATAAATATATTGAGCTCTCTTTTGTGGATCACTTTTAATATTTTATATTATTAGGATTCACTTGGATTACTTACCCATTACATGTGTGTGCGTGTGTGTGTGTGTGTAAAAAGAAGACTTATTTTCATTATCTTAAATAAAAGAAAAATATATTTGCTGATTATTATAGAAGAGCAACGAAAGATCCTAACACTTAGTATAAGACAAAGTACGATCCAAATGAATGCACAAGAGCTACATTCTTTTTACATATTTTCATATTCACTAGATCATATTCATTTTTTTTTCAGTACCCTCTCTCTCTCTTTTTAACAGTGTCAAGGACAGAGAAATTGAGCTCAATTTGTTTTGTGTATTAATATTTACCTGTGGTGCTTTTAACATACTTGCTGTGTCCTCACGGACTTGCCTTACATGATCTTTAACTTCATGAATAGCCATCTGCAGGTCCATATTGACACCACCACCACCACCACTTCCAATGCGATCGGCTTTCTCTTTTATCTGATTGATCAATTCTCTGAAAAATAGATAAAAATGAAGCAATGATGAATTAAAATTTACTTTTATTGTTAATATCAGTTTGTTGTTTTAATATTTAAAAAAAATATTTTTAATAAAAACTTGCTTTCTCTTTAACTATGTGGCTGTGGAATATTTTTGTGTGCTGCCATATCAGAGAAATATCTTGTCAGTGATTCCATGATAATCACTATTTTCATTGTCTTGATTCTTTAACTGATTCTATGCCAAAGTAAAAAAAAAAAAAATAGAAATAAAGAAATTTCCTGCGAGGTTATCTCACTAACTGCTCATAAATACAGAAGTAAGATCATTCAAATAAGACAGGAAACACATGCAAGTTGTTTCCCTAGTTTAAAAAATAAATAAAAAAGGTTTAAATTATGCTTTATATTCCAAAGCAAATAACTTTATTAACATAACCTGCATCATTATGTGTGGGTGTGCATTATATATATGAAAAAAAAAAAAAAAATGAACTTCAGACAGTTTATACACAACTTTGAGAACAATACTCAAAATTGTATCCAATAATTGACAAAAATATAATAAGAAATTTGTAAGTGGTCTGTGATTACAAAGGAAATATTTGTTGCAGATTATTTCCACATCACAGAGAATAAATCACTAATTTCAGACTCAAACATCGGGGGCAGAAAGAAATGCTGTTAAACTTGATTCGCAGGTACTATCTTACGAATCACAATGCATGCAACCAGTCAGAAAAATAACTCCTTCTCCAACAAATATAGTAGCCAAAATACCCGAATTTTCCTCCCCGATTCAAGAACACCAACTGCTTTTATCGGCTGAGCATTTTTTCCATTCGTCGACAACTGGGAGAGGATGTTCAGTATTTTGCATATCAAAATACTTTTATAGCGACTCCTGCAATGGACTTGTTTTTTTAATTCAAATAGTCCATCTTCAGCATGTCATACGGAATACGTGCCCTTTTGTTTGGTAAGTAATTTTCTTTTTCACCACATTTTCCGCCGTAGAATACATGTGATGCGCTGTCACTTGGTTTGGTAATATATATAAATGGCAATTATATATATATAAATAAATAAATATAATATATATATATATATATATATATATATATATAAATAAAATAAATGGCAATTATATATATATATATAAATAAATAAAGGCAACAATTATATATATATAATAAATAAATGATTTTGATTATATATATATATATATAAATAAATAAATAAATGGCAATCCTTTTATATATCAAAAAATAAATCTGTCTGTTATATATATATATATAAATAAATAAATAAATAAATTTACAATTATATATATATAAAAATAATAAATACTACCTTATTATAATATATTATATATTAAATAAATCCATTATATATATATATATATATATATAAAAAATACTGGTAAATATTCAAAATAAGTTATTCCAAATTATATATATAAATATAAAAAGAAATAAATGGGACTTTAATATATATATATATATTTAAAAATAAATTTTATATTATATTTTATATAAAATATGGCAATTATATATATATAAAAATAAATATATATATATATTTTAAATATATATATATATATATAAAAATTAAATCAAATATATATATATATAAAAATAAATAACTGCTTTATATAAGGATATATTTGAATAATAAAATTAAATATATATAAAAGCTTAGAACTAAAAATAAATAAATGCATAAATTTACAGTATTTAGGAAAAAGAAGAAGGTAAAAATGAATCACCATAAGCCTAAGATAATATGGTTTAATCACCTTTTAATCATAACGTTCAAATGAATATTGGAAGAATTTTCCTAAATTTGATTCAAAAGCATGTTAATCATTCAACTCTAAAAAGATTTTTTTAACAAAAGTAATTTATGAAGATCAGAATATTCTACTAAATAACATTTTCCTTATAAATCTATATCCAACATAACATTATATTAAAAAAATATTTTCAATGACAATCAGTTAATTTTTTTAAATAAATGCAAAAAAAAAAAAAAATTGTCTGTTCCTTTCAATGGTCAATATATGAAGATTTTTTTATTCCAAACTAGTTAGCATACATTCCAGTAACAATGTCAAATTTTATTTTGGTTTTTGATGAAAATTTAAGAACAGGAAAAAAATTTCTATCATTATCAATGACTTTTAGGCAATAAGTAAAATTACAAAACAGCACTGCTTTTTTTTTTATTTCTAAAATATGATTAAAGAATGATTTATGTAATACACCTTTTATCATTGGGATATTGTCTTTAAATATTTTAAAATTTTAAAGCAAATTTTAAAAACAAGAAAGAGAAATATATGTAAACTTTAAAGCTGTATTGTTGAAAATTAATTATCTTTTTACACAAATAACCCTAGCTTATTAAACAAAATGAAATGAATTGATGGTTAAATAATATTTAAATTTTAAAGGCATCAAAATAAATATCTTTTCAAAAAAAATGTTGATCCAGATTAATTCTTAATAAAGTTAATTTTTATTTTTAACAAAAGAAAAAGTAATCTCCTTTATTAAAACTAAAAATAAATATTTTTGTAAATTTTTTTTTTTTTTTTTACACACAAACACACAATATCTTGAATTTTAACAATTTTTTTATTATTTTAAGTAATAAGAATTTTAAAATTATAAAAAAAAAAATTTCTAATTTACATAACATTAAGTTGAAATTTAATGAAACTTGGAGTTGTGCACATTAATCTAAGATATATTTATTCTTAATATAAGTTTACTAAATAGCTGTTATTTTCAACAAATCAGTGTTTTTCATACACTCTAAAAAAAATGTTCTTATATGTATTTTAAACTTATGATCAAAAATAAAATACCTACCTATATTTCTAATTTAACTATTTTAAAAATATATATAAATAAAATATACAGGAAAATACACACATCAAGTTGTAATAAAAAGTATTGTAAAAAAAATTTTAATTTTAAATTAAGACTGAATTGTTTCTTAGAAAATTTTTTTTTTTTTTTTTTTGAACCCACTGAGGTTTTATAACACTATTGGACTCTTTGAGCAATAACAATGTACAATTTTTACCAGCTTAATAGGATATAATGATGAAATCGATTCTAAAAAAAAATAGACATATTTCATTAATAATCATTTAAATTTTTTCTTTCTAAATTGTAGATAATCTATTTAAAAATCCTAAATACAAAAGTTACATGGAAAACAGTAGATAAAGTAGAAATAAAATTTAATTTAAATTTTAAAATATCATTGGAGTTTTTAGCTTCTAATTTTGAAAAGTTTCTTGTCGAGAGAAAATTTTTTTAAATCAATTTTCTAAAAAGGAATGTTATGTAAATTTCAAAACTTAACTATTTTTGTAAAAATAAAATATTTTAGAACACCGGAATTTAATCTTACTGTTCTTTCTTTTATTTATATACAAACAAGTATATTTATATATATATATTTAAACTCATTTTATTAATCCAAACAAGTTTTGATTATAATAAAATTAAAGACAGACCTTATTCAATCCTTTTTAGATCAAAAGGTCTGTCTCATTAAATTTATAGCAAAGTCAATTACTTGACTTTTACTGGTAGTTGACATGAAAAAGAATACCTGCTGCATGATTGTTAAAATGATTGGTTTCCCCAATCCATAGAAATATTATGAATGTATGTGCTTATAAAACTCGGTAAATTTCAAAATAAGTTATTCAAAATTCGATTGAAAATGAAACAGAACTTTCACTTTAATTAATAATTGAATTTGAAGTTTTTAGTTTGTTTTTGAAACATGGTAATTCCTGTGTAGCGATGGAACCATATTTTTAAATATATATATATATAATTATTATCAAACTTGTTTGGATTAATAATTGCTGCCTTATATAAGGATATATTTGATAATAAAATTAAATATATAAAAGCTTTAGAACTAATAAACCATAAATTTCCACTTTTTTTTAAACAAAATTTTTAAACTGAATCACCATAAGCCTAAAAATAAATGGTTTAATCCAAAATCAAAAAACAAATGAATATTTAAGAATTTTCCTAAATTTGATTCAAAAAATTTAATCATTCAACTTAAAAAGATTTTAAATAAAGTAATTCTAGATCAGTATTTCTGATTAGTAACTATTGATAAATTGGATCCCAACATAACATTATATTAAAAAAATATATTTTTTTTGAAAATGTTAATTTTTTTTAATAAATGCAACTGCTGAAAAAATATGATCTGTTCCTTAAATGGTCAATTTTACTGATAATATTGTATACTGAGTTTCTGACGCATTCCAGTTTAATGTCAAATTTTATTTTTTTTTCCAATGAAAATGCTTTAAAATTTCATTTCTATCATTATCGAATGACTTTAGGCAATATAAAATACAAAAACAGCACTGCTCTCTCTAAATATTTCTGGCAATTAAAGAATGATGGTAATACACCTTTTATCACTTGGGATATTGTAGCAAGAGCCAAATCTTACAACAAGAAAGGAAATATATGTAATTTATGTATTGTTGAAAAATTAGTTATCTTAAAACACAAATAACCCTAGCTTATTAAACAAAAGAAATGAATTGATGGTTACATGTAGGCATCAAAATAAATATCTACTCAAATATGTTGATCCAGATTAATTCTTAATGGAAATTTTTATTTTCAAAAGAAAAAATTAGTTAAACTTTTTTAATATAAAAATAAATATTCAAATTTTTTTTTTTTAAACATTTATATAATTCATTACACTTTTTTATTATTATTTAGATATAATTGCAAACTTTTTATTATTTCAATTTAGAATTATTATATTTATTTTTATTTATAAAAAATAAATATAATAATTCCAGCAACTTGAAAGTTGGACAGAACTGAAACTTGAGTTGTGCAATTAATCAAATATTATCTGAATTTCCCCCCTTTTAATATATATATTAAATAGCTGTTATTAACATTGAGAACTGTTTTTCTGACACTAAAATATTATTTTAAAATGATCATTTTAAAAATATTTATATTTCTCCATTTGTTATATATATTTCAAAGTTATATTTGTATATATATATTTTCATTACACACACACATCACACATTATTTGGGTGTAACAGAAAATTGTCTAATTTTAGAAGAGCTTTTGAAGTATTTAAAATGTTTAAAAAAATAAAACCCACTGAGGTTTTTATAACACTCATTGGACTCTTTGAGCAAAAAATGTACAATTACTCTCTAAAGCTTAATAGGAGTATCATGAAATTTTTCTAAATGAAAATGACATGTTCATTATTAATCATTTAAATTTTTTTCTTTCTAAATTGTAGATAATCATATTCAAAAAACAGGTGTAACATCAAAAAGCTGATTATGGAACTTGTAGGTTAAAGGAAGGTGTCATTGAGTTTGAAAAAATACAGAAAATTTCATTAAAATCATTGATTAAGGTGGATTAGTCTACTTTTTTACATAACATTTTTTTTAAAATTCATCCATTAGAAACAATTCTAGTTTTTCAGGCTAAATACAGAAAAATTTTTTACAAAAAAAATTTTTTATAATACATTTTTTTAAAAATATTTAACAAAGCATTCCTGACATTTAAAACTTAATAAAAAAAATCCCTTTAAGCAAGTTTAATTTCTTCAAATTTCTTGAAAACATGTTTTAAGTTTGGAAAAAATTAAAAAATTCATTTTTTTATTTTTTTAAAAAATCTCTTTTTTATTATTAGATAGATAATTTTTGGAATGTTTTTTTTATTATTAATTTAATTTTTCAAAAAAAACTTTTTTCACCATTGATTTCATTCTTTTCTGAATAAGTCCATCAAAAATTTCATTAAAAATCCATACAATTATGATTTTTGGTTTGACTATATAAAGCCTAATTAACGACCTGCTTTCCATGGTTGAAAGTTATAGGCTAATAAAACAAACAGGCTTTAAATTATCGGGTTGTCGACAAAAAACAAATTTTTTAAACAAAATTTTCTAACGTATCTAAAAAGGAGTAAATATTTTTTTTTAATTTCACTGGATTAATAAAAATCTTGTACTTTGTGTTTCCTTAGAAATCCTGGATAGGTGTCCATAAACATAAAATAAAATAAAAAAATTTCAGTTTAAGGATTTCATTCATTAAAGAAATCCTTTTAATTAAAATCCAAATAATTATTTGAAGATTTCCTAATTAACGATTTTTTTCCGAAAAAGGAATGGAAGAATTAAAAAAAACATACCTATAAAAGGTGACCTACAAAAGATTTTTTAATTTTTTAAGGGCCCCAAAATTTCTTTAAACCTTATATTGAAATTTTTATTTCTTCCTCTTAATATAAAAATTTTTTCCTTTCCATTTTTTCCTCTCCCTTTTAATTTTTGCCTGGACAAATTTATTTCATTTAAAAAAACTTTGGTCTGAAGAGATGAATATTTGAAAATATTCCGAAATGGATTTTTAAGGATTGTGTGTACTTATTACTTGATATTTTTCATATATATATATATATATATATATATAAAAATTAGTATTTAAATTATTTTAGATTGGGATCGATTTATGTGTTTTGAATAATGAGGTTATGGATTTAACAGTTCTCTTTTAATTTTTTTTTTTTTTGTATTTTTGTAGTTATGTATCTTGGCTTGGAATAGTAGTAATTCTTTCAGGAAAGGAGATATTGGGAACTTGCTTAACTTTTCTGCTAACCTGATGAATATTCATCAGGTTAGCATTATACCTAAAAATATTTGATGAATATTCATCAGGTTAGGTTATACCTAAAAATTTTGAAAAGCCAATAACATTTTTTCCTCTTGTATATAAATACATATCACAAAATAAAATCCTTATATTAGCCTTAATAAAGTCTCTCAGAAGACAAAACATTAGCTAAAGTAAATTTTCCTTGTTTTTATTCATATTGTTCTTTTACAGATATACTCTTTGAAATTTTCATATACACACACATGTATGAAGACAAAAGGAAAACATAGTATAGTTTCATCCTCTGTGGGACTTTATCAATGCAAATGCAAGGATCTTATTTTGTAACAAGTACTTATATACAAGAACAAAATTTTTTTTTTTTTTTAATTTTTGAGTTCAGAAACACTCATAAATATTTATCAGGTTAGCTGAAATGTCAGTCAAACTATGGTAGACACAAAGAGACAATTCAATGCCTAATAAATGAGCGAGTAATGTTTTAGAAATTTTTTTGTGCAAATTAGTATTTAAATTAATTTGGTTTGGGATTAATTCATGTGTTATGTATTTCAAATAACATGACGTCATGGTATAAGTTTTCTTTTAATATTTTAACATTTTTATAGTCACGTGTCTTGGATTGAGAAAGTAGTAATTCTTTCAAGAATGGAGATATTGGAAAATTGGTGTTCAGGATAGAATAAGTAATGCGGAAGGATAGAAAAAAAAACTAATCTCACCTGACATCTTGCATTTTGCCCCGAATGTCATTCTGATTGCTAATGACAACATCCACTTCATGTCTTTTGATTGTATCTGGAATTGCAACTGGTTGGCCCTACAACAAATAACACACCCAACAATAAAAGCAATAGATGAAATGCTGGAATGAAGATTTACCAGACAAGTATCTTACATCAGGTCAAATGAAGCTAGCAATATTCTTGTAAACACAATAGACAGACTCCCTTGATATACCTTGGGATAGGAATTAAAAAAAAATATGTTTGGATAATTCAACGTTCTTAATGATTGAATACTTTATTTATTGAGAAAGAATGAAGAAAAAAAGTCATTTTCTGTTACAACTCTGAGCAGTTATAATAGGTCTTGCTTACATTTGTGTAATTTACTGATAAACACCCCCCCCCACCTCTTTTGAGATTTCTTTTTTTTTTTTTATTATTAAATATTTTATTTTATTTCTCACTATTCACCCCATCCTCTTTCTGGTAAGTTCACCACACACTGCACTTTGTATTTTTTTTTTTGTTCTGGGTCAACCTTTAGTTTTTCTGTATGTTTCCTTTTTCTGGTAATCATACTTGTACATTCAACAAATTCTTGGTGTGTTGGTATCATACAGTACTTGCATAGGTTCTTTTCTTGTGGGCCTTTCTTCAGTAAACCTTTTCTTTAACCAATTCAACTGCCTTTTATTTTCCCATTTTTTTTTCCTTTTACCATATTTATCATTTTTCCAAGTCATGAACTTATGCCATCTTCCCACATTTCTTTTCCATTTATATGTACTTGGAAAAAACCTTTTTCACCAAATTTTGAAAACATTTTACATCCTTTTTGTTATGTGTTCTTATTCTTTTTTGACCTGGTAACGACTTTTCAAACACAGATTTAATTTTTCTTGTGAACATCAATTCTGTCAGCAACATGCCTGATGATGTATTAGGATTCAGTATTATTCGGTGTACTCTCAAGAATTTTTGCAGTGCTTCTTCACTTACTTTTTCATTACTTGCTTTTTTTCAAAGCTCTCTTAAAAGTACCCACAAACCATTCAGCTTGTCTGATCTTGGATGATATGTGTGTCAAAGCAGAAAGTATTTTTTCCTAATCTGTACACATGGTCATGACTCGCTCCTAGTGGTCATGACTCGCTCCTAGTGGTCATGACATGCTCCTAGTGGTCATGACATTGTCTTGCTTAGGCTACTCACCATGACATCTGTTAAAAATTATGATGGACTCCATTGGACTACCCTGACTCATTTGGAGTTCTTTATTAAGGTGTCATGCCTAGTTCATTTGTGTTACTGGGTGGGTGTTATTTATTCCACAACATTTCCTGAGAGAAAATTTAACATTTATATCATTAAATAACACTTTCTTCAAGGTTTTGTCTAGTTTATTTTTTATGGAAAGAGAATTTAAATGACTTTGCTACATGCTGAGCATACAAAAGGATATTCCATTTCCCACTGAAACATGCTTCACATGTGCCACACACGTCTAAGAGACACATAAGCCAGAATCTCTGACTTGACCAAGCTGCTTGATTCATTCATTCTCTATGGATTATCAACCCTTTGTGGGTTATTTAAAACCAGAAAATATTTTTTGATTGTGAGAATTATTTATTGAGAGAGATAATAATTTAGTGATACTTTGTTTGTTTTTTTTTTTTAAATCATTTCACCCCAAGCAAGACAATAAAGCCACTAAGATACAAGGGGTTACTAGGTGTTAGTATGAGAAAAAAAGAAAAATATTATTAAGGAGAGAGAATAATAAAAAAAACAAGAATTAAGACAGAAGATAACGATTGACATTACATTTAAATTTTTGAAATCAAAGTTAACTGGGAAGCTAGAAGAAAATTTCACAAATGAGAAGTGCAACAGAAGAAACTCTTAACATAGAACTTACATTTATGTTTACATCTAACCATTTCAACTGTAAAATGATGAGAATTACCACAAAAGTATTTATAGAAAAGGCACAGTGAAGCTACATTATGGTGGTTGATGAGTGACTGAAGACAAGATGCCAGGTCAAGACCAATAACATTGCAGATTCTTTACTAATTAACCCAAGCTGGGGGTGTAATTGCTTGTAAAGGATTATAACAGCTCCAATTAGAGTTGGAACTTTGCTCTCTGATTAACAATTCCAAGCCATTATCCTTTACATTACCCACACATCCACACTTACAGCACCTGGCATTTCCAAATGGTCACCCATCTAGGTACAGACCAGGTTCTCTGTTGCTTAACCTCGGTGATTGTGTGGGAACAAGTGTTTCAATATGATTGGCTGTAAACTTTGACCAAGCTGTAATTATCCAAATGAGTTTAATTTGGATAATTGAAAAATGTTTAGATTTAAATTTTTCTCTTTTTTCATGTCTGGATAATTGAAGTTCAAAAGTCCACATGGGGCTAATCAATTGACTGACGAGGTGCTAGAAAAAAAACCATTTCAGACTCAGCAGTACACTGATATCTTATCAATGTCCCAATAACCTTGTAGGGGACAGTGAGTTTATTTACACATTGTGATATGAACATGTGTGGAACCCCTAAAATAAAGTCCACTACAAATATGGCAGACTCTGAGAATGAGTCTACCAAAAAGAAAATGTAACAGAAAAACAACAAGAAACTAATATACATGTACAAACAGGTATATGTATTAAACAACAAAAAGGGTTTATAAAAGATATAGTATGTGTATGTATGAACATAAAGAGTTTGTCTCTAAGTATGTCCATACGTACATGTGCGCGCATGTGTGTGTGTGTGCGTGCATAATGTTCATGGTGTCTTTCCAAGGAAAATGTATAGCAGCCCCACCACTAAAGGGGAAAACGCAATCTTCTGAAAGAGCTTTACATGATCGCACTGAAAAGTGGAAGGAGAGAGAAAGGGTTTTCTCACGTATTTATAGTTTAGGGTTAGTGTCCCCTAGTGACGATCTGTGCAATTAGAGGAGGAGTTAACTCCTACAACCTAATCCAACCCAGCTCCAAATTAATGTTTGTTGAATAGGATATAGATTATATACTCAGAACTGGAAGAGAGTCATTTCATGCTGTTGTGTATTAATGAAGAGTTAATGCAAACCACAATACTAAATATTAGGCCATTCACACTTCTGTCGTAAAGGATAATAGTAATATTATCATTAGCAAATGAAACTCCCCCCCCCCCGGATTATTTGCAATAGGATTATCATAAAATTTAAGACACCTGAGGTCCCCTTTATTTTTAATTATTATGTTATCAAAATGACAAGATGTTGGTGAGGATTATTAAAAAAACAAACTAAAAAACAAAAAGAACAAACTTGTCTGTACCTGACCCTGAACCACCTGGACTCCTCCAGATCCAGAACTGAGTTTAGACAAAATCAACTCCTGTCGTCCATGTAATTCATCCAAACGTTTGTTCAATTCACGTAACGAATGGAACATGTTATTTTGGCCTTCAAAGATCTGTTTCAGTTCACGTTCTCCTTGGCTTTCAAACTAGAGAAAGAGAGAAAAAAAAAAAAAAAAAAAAAAAAAAGAATCATTCTTCAGTAATAAAGACAAATTTATATTTAAAAAAAAAAAAAAATATAACTAGACTTAAAAAGAAAAGAAAACTTCCTAAATTGGCAGCAGGAAAGCATTTTTAATTTTTCAGTGACAAAATTCACTCCATAAAATAAGTAAAAACAAATGACAATAAAAAAAGAAATCATTGAAAATCAAAGCAGGTAAAGCATAATTCTTTAGACAAGAAAAAATTGAAAGCTATTCTTGATAGTGGTAAAAGTAATGGTAGCAATGCTAGTGGTGGTAAAAGTAACAATGCTGGTGGTAGTTGTAGTAGTAAAAGTAAAACAGGTAATAGTCATGGTGGTGGTAGTAGTAAAGGTAATAGTCATGGTGGTGGTAGTAGTAAAGGTAATAGTCATGGTGGTGGTAGTAGTAAAGGTAATAGTCATGGTGGTGGTAGTAGTAAAGGTAATAGTCATGGTGGTGGTAGTAGTAAAGGTAATAGTCATGGTGGTGGTAGTAGTAAAGTAAAGGGTGGTGGTATAGTAATAGTGGTGGTGGTAGTAGTAAAGGTAATAGTCATGGTGGTGGTAGTAGTAAAGGTAATAGTAGTGGTGGTAGTAAAAGGTAATAGTCATGGTGGTGGTAGTAGTAAAGGTAATAGTCATGGTGGTGGTAGTAGTAAAGGTAATAGTCATGGTGGTGGTAGTAGTAAAGGTAATAGTCATGGTGGTGGTGGTGGTAGTAGTAGTAGTAAAATTAGAAAAGTTATTCACTAAAACTCACCCATTTGTCAACATCAATATCATATTCATCCTTGGCTTTATCTGGATGTTCTTTTTTGTAACTAGAAACAAAAAGAAAATTTATGAAATGATCACAGTCAATAAAGTTGGACATAGTTCAGTCAATACTAAATATGAGCCGAAAGTTCCCTACACACTGAAACAGCAACTTGTAAGCATTTAAATGATGTTCACAAAAGTAATTTGTGACTGGCAGTTGAGATGTAAATTCTCAATAGTTGTCAATAAGTGTATGCACCCCCACTGCATCAAAAGAAAAGAAGCATTTGAACTGTTAATAGTTAACAATTACTTTTTTTTTGTGTTGATTGTCTATTTTCCATTGTTATGTTCAGCAGATATTAGCAGTCCTAGCCGACTTCTTTACTGTAAACAAATATCTGCTAAATTGTGATGGACAAAGATGCTGTTATATTGTCAAGTTTCACCTGTTTAAGGAAAATGAAGCACCAGTTCTTTCTCTTATTCACCAGCTGCTGAAATGTGAAGATCTTTTTTTCTTTCTATTTTCAGCACTGGCTATAGCAATACGAAGATGAGCTGCTGTCTTGATGTAAAATGATTTTAACAATATAACGTCATATTTCACACCAACTTTTGAAAGTTAAGACAATATGTACTGGCACAATTCTTCTACAAACATTTCAAAGCAAGGTGGTAATGCCATGAAGATGTCATGGGTTACTGATAGTGGAAGAGTATGAGGAGACTAGTGAATAAAAAGGCAAATAAAAGAACAGGCTTCAGGAAGACAGAAGCTAGTGATTGCCATTGCTTTAAAATTTTTGAAGATTATCAGTGGCATGGAAGCAAGAAACTGAAAGAGTTCCACAGGAAAGAAGTGTGAAAAAAGCCTTAGAATAAAACTTACAGCAATATTTAGCTGTTTCAAAAGTAAGATGATGAGACCTAGTTGCCAATCTACAAGTACACTTAAATTCATGCAGTCAATGTGCAAAAAAAAAAAAAAAAAAAAAAAAATATATATATATATATATATATATATATATATATATAATCAGTCACTTTTCAGGATATCAATTTTCAGTCTATCAATATATATATATATATATATATATATATATATATTAGACAGAGGAAAGTGATGTCATGAAAAGTGACTAAGCAGAGATGTCAGGACTGATAATATTATAGACTCTTCAAAGAATTTTGTTGAGAATCTTGAGATATAATAGGAGTACCAAACCAGATATGCCAGCAATATTCAATGCATGGATAAATAGTAGATTTATAAATGTGTAAGATGGATTCTGGCCAGAAAAATTGTCTGACATGACACAGTAAATCAACATTCTTAGGAGCAAACCCAGCAATTGAATTATGTTGTTAAATTCTTAAGTTATTTAACAAAATGTCTATTTTTTTTTTTTAATTTCACAAACAACCATTCCCTTATATGATTAAATCAATCCACAGCTACATATTTAACCCACTATAAAAGTATATGGTTAAGAAGTGATGGATTTCTTTAATTAAACAGTACTTTTGTTTATTTGTTTTTCAGCTACATATCACACACATTAGAAAAGTCTAAATTTTCCATAATGCAACAACTAAATTGGAATCAAATAACACTACTGCCTCTTTGTCAAGAATGCTATTTAAAACAAATACAAGAAGTACCAGTTACTTGAGAACAAATTATAATATAAAGCATAAAGATATTCAATTGAAAAAGAAAACCAGTATATTTTCAACAAAATTTATACAACTTTGAAAACCATAAAAATAGTTACTCCATTGAACATTGTGAATTGCCTTGACATGGTTTCAGATGTGATTGCCTGTCCAAATTATGTGGTTCTCATTCCTGTTGGCCCTCATCTCCATGATGGTAATCTTCAAGTTTTGGTATTGTATGGCCACTGGTTGGTCTCCCTATTGACAATACCTCAATGGGAATGCCAGGAGAATCAGGGGAACCAAAAGGCCACATGTTGGAGGTGAAAATATGAAAATTCTTGACCCGCCACTCCAGGATCATGTGAACCATGTATAGGGAGAATGGGAACACAAATTGCTATACCTTGATCCAATGCTTTAACTATCATGCCCAACACCTTGACATAGACAATGACATTAATCCTAAGGGAAGCAGCATGACCCCTGATGCTCCCAACCCCTAGGACCATCATCTATGATAAAATTCATGGGCCCCACCATGTCTATCTCTGTGGGGTACATAGAGCACCATCTATCATTCTCCATTTCTGCCTGACCACTTTCAAGAAGCCAGCCATCTCAAAATTGCTGTGGTTGGCCACTACTACCCTGAACATGTGCCTTTTCATTGTGTCAGTTTGGAGTTATGTTAATGCTCTTGAATATGAAAAAGACTACTAACTGGATGATATTTGTTGAAATTCTCAGGAAAGTGGATTGAAAAGTTAGGAAAATTAGAAAGAAAATCCATTAAAAATTATATTTTAAAATAATAAAATGAAATCAGAACAGTTTCAAGGAAAATCAAACCCAAATGTAACTAAACGGAATTCAGTGAGATTTATTTTTAATGCATTTTCTTTTTAATTTTCCTAACTTTTCAATCCACTTTCCTGAGAATCTCAACAAATATCATCCAGTTAGTAGTCTTTTTCATATTGAGCAAAACCAAGACTACCAAAACTTCCACACTTGTCACTGATAAGAAAGAGACAATGTATCATCAGAGATGTCAGTACTGGAAAAATAGAAAAAAAAAACAAAAAAAACAGATGTTTTGAAATACCTTATCAGTAAAGAAAACAGGTGGTCACTAAAATGACATCTAAATTGTTCTGGACAAAAAGCCAGGAAAACATTTGGTTTGTGTAGGCCACGCAGAAAAAAATATCCCTACAATTATAAAGATTAGCGGCTAAGATTCGGGATGGGTTTATTTATTTTAATTTCTGTGACATTCATCAAAGTTTTTTTTCTTATAGCTGATGTTATTTTGGATTATTTTTTTGGCATAAGTGAGACAAGTTAATAAAGAAAGATTAATTGCTAACTTGGAGTGACCGTAGACAAAAGGGTGTGTCGTCTTGTTGACCGAGAAACACATCAATAGAGAAAGATAATTTTTTTTTATTATTACTAAAGATATTGGGAATATTTTTTATTTCTTTTTCTCTCCCACCCATGATGACTGGAATCCACATCGTTTGCCGAGACCTCCTGGCCAAAACCTTGTGCCAGCCCTGAAGGCCAAAACTTAGAAATTTAAATTACTATTAACACAGGCTGTAAACTCCAAAAGAGGATCCCCAATGTCATTTGATTATAACAGTATTGGCAGGGTTAAAACCACTGCACACAACAAATTATATATAAACCAAATCATTAGAATGTTTTTAACCAGAGCTAATTCTTTATTGCAAAAATTCTTTTTTGTGTAGCTCCTAGCCATCAACCTGTTCTTCACTTCAGTTGACTTCATCAGTGATCTTCTCACCCTCAAGGTAAAAAAAACATGTGGCAGAGGAGCTAATGGTTATGAAGGAGACAAACGCCAGCTAGATCAAGTGGAACTGTGATCATCATCACAATACCAATGACAAACCAGAATTGTGTTAATGGGTAAAGAGTCAGCTAGATGGTAATCACAGTGGTTTGAAGGAACCTGAAGACCAGCATGGGATTGAGAGGGTTACAATAGAAACAGGAAACAATTTACAATATTTACATGCAGACAATATTCTGCACTAAATAATGTAAATAAACTGTAAATAAAATATTTATAAAAATGTTTTCAGGATGAAAAATTTTCCTTATTTACACAATTTATATTCATCTATTCATCATTTTGACCAATGTGCCCTCTGTCTATCATCAGGTGCCTGTTGATCCAGGGAACTTACAGGGATATTTCAAATTGAACCCTTTATTTAATCTAGGGTACATTGTTCTTGTTCCACTGTCCATAACTATGGATATCTCATCTAGTTCTTTATTTAGTACTGCTCAGTTATTGCTCACCCCATTTCCAGAGTCCACATACAAACTGCTTGGCTGAGGGATTAAACTCACAATTAGTATGTCACCAAATTCACAAACCAATTCTTTAATCCACCATGGGATAATTTGGAGCCTCAACCCTAATCTGCCTGCTGATGAGTCCTGCTGATGCTTGTTTGCACTCACTGAAGCTTCTCTTTTCATTACAGCTGCTGTAATTGAGAATGTATGAAATTACTGCCTTTCAGTAATATTGGTGAGTTATTAATTAAATTGAATTGGTGGTTATTAAATAAAAAAAAGAAATAATTTTTTTTAAATTCCTATGCAATTAATGTAAAAATTATGCAAAATTGTGTTTGATAATAAACCAGGATCCCCCCTTCCCCACCACTTTTCTTGCAATCAACACCAAATCAACATGTTCTAAGATGGATGGTGCTCCTACTTATAGAGTTAAGTAGATGCCCAAAGAGGCTTGTTGGCAGTTAAATATCATTTGGCCTAATTTAGCCAGACAGAATCAATGGTAAGAGAAAAACAATGCAGCAGAGAAAAAGAACTAATTAAAAAAATTATTTAGGTTCAATAATGTTAGGTCAGGCTTAGACCTGCTACTTGGATGCGTGATCGGCATATAAACCAGCTCCCCAACTAGCTTTTCTGCTTGTGAGGAGAGTGGCATATCACTACTAGTTGAAAAACAGGACCTGTCAAAGGGCCAATGAGCTTTTTTATAGGAGTTAATGACCAACAAATGTGTGTGCATATATATATATATATATATATATATAAATAAAAGGTAACGATAGGGTCTCAAGCCTTGAATAGTACCCTTCCTAGAGATAGTATTTTGATAAAAAATATTGTGTACTTGGACAAACATGAATGTTTGAGTTGGGTGTCAGCAAAATCTAGTCTTGTAAAACCTTGCTTCAAATCACTGACAAATCCCCTGTCAGGCAGGACCCACCTTGCTTTGTGTAAGATTAATCCCAGTTCTGCCTCAACAACAAAAAACACAGGTATGCATGTGAGATTGAAATGGATTTTAAACTTGAAGAAATTCAATAAGATCAAGTATAATTGACAAATTTTTGTTCTTACTGGTCAGGTGATAGATTCCAGGGAAAAATATTTCCCATGCTAAAAGTTGTCGTCTTAAACTACCAACATGTTCCCCAGCAAAAAAAAAAAATGTCAAATCCAGAAAGAAGCTAAGAATTCATGAGGTCTTGTAATAATGAAATTAATGATTTGAAGTTGTAGGAGAAAGTAAGGAAAAAGAACTAATAAATTAGAAAAAGAACCGATAAATAAATAAAAGAACCGATAAATAAATAAAAGAACCGATAAATAAATAAAAGAACCGATAAATAAGAAAAAGAACCGATAAATAAATAAAAGAACCGATAAATAAATAAAAGAACCGATAAATAAATAAAAGAACCGATAAATAAATAAAAGAACCGATAAATAAATAAAAGAACCGATAAATTAGAAAAAGAACCGATAAATAAATAAAAGAACCGATAAATAAATAAAAGAACCGATAAATTAGAAAAAAAACCGATAAATTAGAAAAAAAACCGATAAATAAGAAAAAAGGTAAAAAATTATGCAGCACTTATTTCGATTAACTGTTACTTAGAATGATTACTTTGCTACTTATGCAAATATAAAGAGTTCTTATTTGGGATTAATATAAGTAACAGATGGCTATAAAAAGAAACTTGATTATTTACAACTAATTTGTTTAAATAATGCACTGGCTATTGTTCACAATTGTGACAATAATTGTAAGTAAAATAAGGCACTAAAAAAAAGTAACCAAGTAATTGTTTTAAGTTCTCTGAATATCAATGCCAAAAATATCAAGCTACTCTTACTGAAGTATATTGTACTTGTGGTACAAAAAAGGCTTGCAATATGTAGAAAATTTTTAAATGATTATAGAAATCCTTTTTAAAATAATGCAACAAATTATGCAGCTCTTGTTTCGTTTAACTGTGTTACTTAGAACTATCATTTCACTACTTATATAAAAAGACATATTTCGATTAACCATATTACTTAGAACGATTACTTTGCTATGTAATTTATGACATTTTTTATTAAAAAATGCAACAAATTATGCAGCACTTATTTTGATTAACTGTTACTTAGAATGATTACTTCACTACTTATGTAAATGTAAAAATAGTCTTAGTTGGCAATAATATAAAAGACAAATGGCTATAGAGGCATTGTTGATTATTTATGGCTAATTTGTTTAAATAATACACTGATTATAATTTGTGTCATGTGGCAGTAGTAAGTAAAATGATGTTCATAAGTAAATAAGTAACCAATTAATCGTTTTAAGTTCTCTGAATACCAAGATTTATTTTCTAAGCATAGCTTAAATGTGGCACAAGGCCGAATGTATGGGGTACCCAATGAAGATCGAACTCACTATTCTGTCGTAACTGTTTTAGTGAGACAAGCTCGCTAACCATTACACCATGCTGAAACCAATAAAAAAAATAAAAATAGGTAGGGATTTTGAATTGTAAAATAGTTTGCCATTGGATTCAAAATGACAAAGATCTCAATTATTATTTCAAGTTGGCAGGAGAGAAATGTAACTATTGATTCCCCAATCCCATTACCAGATGAAAGCAAATACAGACATGCTCATTTACTCTCTCTCTCTCTCTCATATAGTAATAGTGGTAAAACTGCTATAAATCAGCCACATTGATAAGCTGACCAAATACTGGGAAGGGAAAATATATTTAAATATATAATTTGTAGAAAGGAAAAATAAAAAGTGATATTTTCATTCTGTCATTTTGTGTCTCACTACAAATCAGGAAATTTCTAACTATATGATTCTTTTCCAACTCGAAAGCCTGAACATTTCAACCCTTCAGTCGAAAAACTCTTCAGGACCAAGATAAAACAATGTGGGCTGTTGGTGCTTCTGCCATGTACCTAGAGTTTCATGACAAAATCCCAAATGTTACCTGACATCTCTGCTTCAATCACTTTCTCACCACCATAAGATAGCTTCCCTGTGCCTTTTCTACAAATATTTTCAATACAATTGTTCTGATGAGCTTTCTTCTTTGGCACCTTGACTTTACAAATTTAAGTGCAGTACTAGATTGGTAGCTAGGTACCATCATCATTTTACTGTTGAGATTACTAGATGTAACCATAAGTTCTATTCTAATAGTTTCTTTTCTCACACTTCCCATTTGTGGAACTCTTCCAGCTTCTTGCCAACTATGATCTTCAAAAATTTTTATGCAATAGTCATCATCTGTCTCCTTGAATCCTGATTTTTTTTCTTGTCTTCTCTCTCTTCAGTAAGATTTTCTGTTTATTCCACTCTCAGTAATCCCTTGTGTTTTAGTGGCTTTATTACCTTGAAGCTGAGACAACCAGTAGAGGGCATGAGTGGTGGTAGTAGTTTCTATTTGCTGTTACTTTAACTGGGGTTATTGAGCCAGGGGGAGGAGGAGGAGGAGGTCACATTTGTTGTAGTCTAAGGTGTGAGGGGAGAGTGTCACTCACAATATTTCTTTTTGGATTTCTGACTAGAAGCCTTCACAAAATCCAACCAAAATTTTAATGGAGCAAAAACTGGATACTGAACATTTATACTTTGTTTTGATTTTTAAAACTTCAAATAACCTGTATTCAATGTTTTCAAGAAAGTTGTTCTCCATTCAAGTCCAAAAGGCCATTTAAATATTTTTTTATTACTATTGTTCACTCAATACAAAATTCAAGAGCTACTCAGAGGAGAGGGTTGCTGAATGAGATTGTTGTAAGGGCATAAAGAGAGGAAGTAAGAGAATGCATATTATGAGGATAGGTAACATTTGACCCTAAAGATGAAGACTGTAGTGATTGGGGAAGCATTCTCTGGGGAGGTTTGTAGAGGTCATGGAAGCATCCTCCTGGGAGTCTGTTCCACATGTTAACAATTTGGGGGAAGAAGTTATTTGAGTGGTGCTTCCTCTTTACTAATGGAATACAAAATGACCCTGAGTAATATTGGGTCCTAGTTGTGAAGGTTTGAACTGGTGGAACTAAGCAATGTAGCTCATTTGACATGGAAATAGTAATAGAGCATTGAGAGGCTAGCAGTGTTTCAGCTGTGGGGGAAATAGGTTGTAGGGTTGAAAATTACTGCTCCCTAACAAAGTGATTTATATTGGGTAAATTTCCTGGTCACGTACTAAATCCACCATCATCATTCACCAGGGCTGACTGAATTGAAGTTTTTTTTTCTAACCTTTGCAGCACAATTCTGAATTTAGCCCAATGAATTAGTAATGAAACTCCACAAAAAGAAGCAAATATTTGTGCACATTTTATATTGAATATTGATGTAATGGAATAACCTGTCACCCCCATGAGTGACTACACTATAGGTAGTAACTACCTATAAGTAGTTGTAAGTCAATAGACTACGGAGTCAAGCTGGGATCTGTTAAGTACGACTCAGACTGATGCAAGAACTACCAACTTCCCAATAGTAGCGCTCACTAATGGATTGACTTGCGATGACCTTGTGTATAACTGTTACGTTTATTCTTATTGTACTGGCTTTTATAATAAACCTTTACTTATTTATTTCACCTTGTTTTTCAAGTATATATTCCTATTAGAACAGAATATAACAAATATGTTAGGAAAATCCCGGATGCCTGCCAATACTATTAGATAACTGCTCCTTTCAGAATTAAACATCCAGCTTCAATAAAAAAAAGTCAATTCTATCATAAGACACACTTAACTTGCAAAATAGCCACTTTTCCTTTCAATTGGAGTGGATTGTACGTCAATATTGTCATTGTTAAACAAGTCCTTCGTAACGAATTGTGTTAGAATTCAAACTAATTGAAAAGCAGAGATAGATATCTATACATAAATGCAATTTAAGTAGAGAAGGGGGAAAATAAAGACTGATACTAACTCTTCTTTAGCCTGTTCAAGTTTTTTGTAATATTCTTGAAATTCTTCTTCTAGTTTCTTTTTCTCGTCATCTGATACTTTAGAATCAGCAGCCAACTGCAAAACAAAGAAAAACATTAAGGAAAATAAAAAATGAGAACATTAAATAAATTTTACAATAATTCTGTTGATTGATTAATTTTAAATTTTCTCATATATTCTAAGAAAAGAGATTGGAATCATGATAATTCCCTTAAATGCAAATGCATAAAATCCATTATTGTAAAACTGAAGTGAACTTCTTTATCAAAACAGGCACATTGAGCTAATTATGTAATGTGTATTTATGTTTTAAATGCTACACTTCCAAACACCAATGATGATAATTATTTATTCTTTTCGGCCAATACAATCATAATGTTTTCTATGTCTGTAAATAAGTTTACATGAGATGGCCTTTTCAGAAAAATGATAAAAGGTGTGGAGGAAGCTCTGCATTTTCATTGAGTGTTAACAATTGGAGAAAGGACAACTGTAATAAAGGCTGATAGCATAATGTCAGATTGATAGATTGATTTTACTGATAAAGCCTATTAAGACATAAGAGACAAACATCTGTTGGGATTAACTGAAAAGAAAACATTAAAAAGGTTGCTGTTCAAGTATCATATTAATTGATTTTTTTAAAATTACCTGAAAGCAAAGTTAGAAAGAAAAAAAAAAAAAAGTATATAATACCTCATCTCAGAAATATAGACATACTTAAAAAAAAAAAAAAAAAAAAAAAAAAAGGGTTCATTTTTTTTTTTATAAGAATGTTGAAAATAATTTTTTTTTTTTTTTTTTTTTTTTTTTTTTTAAAATAAACAGAAATAAATTTTGGTTGTATGATCCTGAGACTCCTAAATAATGTTATGACTTTTTCCTTTAATTAGAAATAGAAAAAAGAAGTAGGAGGTAGAGGCAACACAGAGAGAGAGAGAGAGAGAGAGAAGGTAGAGGCGACGGGGAGAGAGAGAGAAAGAAAAGATTTTTTTTTTTTTAAAAAGCTGATCAATTTTTGTTCCACCCCTCCCTCTCTCTTTTCTGAGGTCAATCAAAGAAATAAAATACCTGTGTATCACAATTAATAAATTGGATTATTGAGGATAAGTAATGCATATATATATATGTTTGTTATTTTATTTTCTTGATCAACCTCTCAAAAGAGGAACAAAAACTAGTCAGCTTAAAAAAAAAAAAAAAAAAAAAAAATCACTTTCCTATCCCTTTTGTTTTTATCAATATAAATGTGTACCCATGCCATCAAAAGTTATGGCAATTGTTAGAAAGTTTTAATAGCAAGAGGCAATTACTGTCCAAATGTTCTATATATTGGTGGGCTTTCAGCTATTAGCCCTCATCAAGGACTTTTTTTTTTAAACTGAATATGTTGATTTTTATATATGTGTATCTACAGTAATGGGAATGTTTTTAATTTTACAATTGATATTATTGAGCATTGGTACTTTTTGTAAATTTTTATTACTAATACTTCCATTATTTTTAGCAGTTTTGTTGGGTTTTCTTTGTTTTTTTTACAAGAAAAAGCCAACACTGAATAATAACTATGAACATAACTTGCTGTGTTTGGAAAAAAAAATTCCCACCACTATAGATACACACACACATATATACATATGCATACAGTCAGATCTCACATAGTAAGTAGTTTCCACCCCCTCCCCCATTTCATATCTTGAAATATATGGATATATTTTATTCCTATAATTCTACATTTAGTGGATACACATGTTTAAGCAAACATCTTCATCCCCCCCCCATACTAAAATTCATGTCTACCAGCATAGAGATCAAAAGTCTTTAACAAAAAAAAAAAAAAAAATGTACCTTCCTTTCAATCTACATGGCTGATAGACTTGAATTTTACTATTGACATTAGGTATGTTTTTATAGCATTAATTACAGGCTAGTTAAACAACATTCTAACCGGTAATTGATGGATTTGTTTTGATGATTTATCAGCCCTTTGTGGGTTATTTAAAACCAAAACTTATTTTGGATTGTAGGAGGTTCCTTACAGTACCCAGTGTTTTCAGGTAGTACCCCTATCTAAATACTGACCAGTTTTGACCCTGCTTATCTTTGGTGATCAAATGTTTCTAACTAGCAAAAAGTAGTCATTTTGTACAACTGTTTTTAAGCAACTTCCATCCAGATTAATGACAAAATTGAAAGAATGCAATTTTGAAAATAATTGTAAAGAATCACAATTTTTCCACTATTATTTATTCTGGTAATTATAGCCACACAAAACAAGAACAAAAGAATATTCTACTTTGATTCATATTTACCCTTTAAAATACCCAGACTTTATAGTCAACAAAAAAAAAAAAAAAAAAAAAGAGAAAAAAGAAAAGGAATTTCTGTGTGACCTGGAATTGGAAGTGTTTGCTAGAAACTAGTGAAAACTGAAGCAAAAATTTAACCCACTTCTTGGAACAGTCACAAAAGTTCTAACCCGCTTCTTGGAATGGTTGTCTGTCACATATTAAAAATTTTGCTGGCCTTGTTGAAAGACTAAAAATATGAAAGAAACTCACAGCTAGTTTACATATTGAATCTCTACACAGTAAAATACCTGTCAAATTCCTAATTTCCTAAAGAAACATCTAATACAATAAAAAAACTAACCTCTCTTTGGCAATAGACAGAACCGTAAGAATCTGCTGACTCCTCAACAAACCAATACTATTTCATTTTAACAATTTTTATAAGTAAAAATTCTGATTAATGATGAGATCACCTCTGAGAGGAATTTTAACTTGGCTGTTCTTGGAATTTCATGAATCTGGTCCTTTCCAAGATATTTTATCTAAACAATCAACATATTTCTTTATTATTATTGTATTAATATATCTCTGAAAAAAAACAATATTACTGGATTTTGTAAATAAGCTAAACAACAAATATACAATAGAATTTACTTATGAAACAAAAATACATTATTTTTTTCTTGGTATCATGTTAAACCAAATTGATAATAGCCTAGTCTATGACAATCTGTCAAAAACTTAGAATATATAACCCTTGATACTTACATGAAGAAAAATAGATTGAAAATACTTTTAAATCCTTCAACTATCCATATAACCTTGATAAAATTAGATACATAATACTTACTACATATCAACTCAATCATAACTACAACTGAAAATAATTTATCGAAATTTAATATAAAATTTGTTACAACTACTTCAAAAACATCAAGAGATTTGATTAACACAAAATAATCTTAAACCTGAAGCAGGAATTGATTTAAAAAAAATTATACCAAGAGACATAATGCCAGATTAAAAATAAATCCATAATTAGTTGGAAAATTAGTGTTTTCATTTTGGGTACAAAAATAATATGGTCAGATACAGACTTTGAAATGTTCTAAAAAGAGATGCACATTTCTTAAATAGAGTAATTACTTTGTTGTAATTGCTCTCTGTAGTTGAAGGTTTCTTGGGTTAAAAAGAGAATACAAGTTTAGTCCCTGTTGAGAGGCACATTTTTCATTAATAGGACAACCTGAGTTGAAAGATTAATTTTACTATTTACTGAAACACACGTTTCCTTTAAATATAATAGTTACAAAAATATTAGATTTAAAAAAAAAATCCATCAACTGCACTTTGTGAATGTGTGTGTGTGTATATATAAATAAAAAGAAATATAGTTTAAAGGTGTGTTATAATTTATGGGATAAAGTGCTCAATATCAGAGAGAGCGTATGTAAAATATAAAAGTGAACATTGAAGTCAACACTCAGAAGCGATAGGCTGTTTCATGCTAGACGCAATTGTCAGGCCATGAGTGTTGGGTTTTTTCTCAACTATATATATATATGGGTCAGTGATGCATTGTGGGTAGTTCACTCTAGCAGTTATTTTGGTGGGACGATTGCATCTAGCATGAAACAGCCTGTCGCCTCTGAGTGTTGACTTCAATGTTCACGTTACACACACTTTATATATATATATATATATATATATATATATATATATATATATCCCAGGTATAAAGAAAAGCTAAAGAGTAACCTCTCAGCTGTCAATGTGCCTCATACTACCTTTGAGCGAGTTACTCTGGATAGAAATAATTGGAGATATTTGTGCCAGAGTAGTATCAGAAATTTTGAAATCAGTTGAATTGACCAGCTAAGAGATGAACAACAGTGGCAAAATTCTTTTTTATATAAATTTTAGCTTGGTCATGTTTTTTTTCTTTTTAATCAAGTACTGTGTTTTTACTCCTAACACTTATAATAAAATATTTGAATGGATTTTTAAAAAAAAGTTTTTATTTGACATTATTTCTTATTACTATGTTATTTTTCCTACATATTGGTGTTGCTATAACTGCTTTTTTTTTTTTTTTTTTTATCATATTTAATGATATAGTGAACCCAGTAAAAATAACATTGATTGTAAGAAGAAATAATGTCAGATAATATAGATCCATTAAAAAATTACTGTCATTTACAATTCAGGTATGAAACTGTAGCTAACAGATATAGATTCGTAGAAGTCCCAACAAGAAATATGCCGCCTTTAAATAGGTGAGGAAAATATTTGCTCTGTCAATGCAGCCTTTGTGGCCAAAATGTAAAGGCATATTTTGGTTGTAGAAATGGTTTCTCTGATGAAAAAGGGGATACAAGTTCAATTCCTGTTAGAGGCATAATCTTTCTTTAATAGGGATTTTTCAATCAGTGGTTATTAATGTCACTGTTTAAGAAAATAAAAAAAAATAAAAATAGGATAGTAACTCAAATACACATATCCACTAAAATGAGTAATAAGAAGCTTTCTCATATATATATATATATATATATATATATATATAGGCTTGCCAGTACTCCACTAAGTGACAAGCCAAATTTCTGTCTATAAATTGTTTTATCTTTTGTTAATCTAACTAAAGCCTTTGATAATGTTTCAAGAGAGTGTTCTTTGGGTTGTCCTTAGGAAGTTGGGCATTCCTGAAAGGATGCTTGGTGTCATAATGTCTTTCCATCAGAGGTTGAGGCTTCAGTTAGATCCAGTGGAAAGGTGTCCAACCCATTGTCTTTAATGGAAAACAAAACAAGGTTGTGTTCCTGCACCTTATTTGCTTTATATTTTTCTGTCATGTTGGAAATGCATGAAAATGTTAAAGGTGTGAGATTTGAGTTTAAGACAAGTGGTAGCTTGTTCATCCAACAACGCTTCAAAACAAGAACTAAGACAATTGTGCAAATTGTTCAAGATTTGTTCTTTGCAGATGATTGTGCATTTGTAGCCCACACCCTTAGGATATGCAATGGATTGTTAATAAATTCTCTCATACATCTAAAGCTTTTGGTCTGACAATCAGCATAAAAGAATGGAACTTGTCCATTAGCCTATCTGTAACCATCACCCACCTATTTCTCCTATTGTTTTTGCTGGTGGAAAAGTCTTGAAAACAGTTTCCTCTTTCACCTGTCTTGGTCTCCTTATATCCAAAGATGCTAACATGGACAAAGAAATTGAGTCCAGATTTAGAAAGTCTAGTTTTACTTTCAGTTGTCTTTACCACAGGCTTTGGAATACTTGTGATGTTTCATTAAAAGGTGTAAATTGATGTGTACATGTCAGTAGTACTGACATCCCTACTCTATGATGCAGAATCTTGAACTGTACCAATGACACATTAATCAACTATATGCTTTCCACATGCATTACCTACATACCATCTGCAACAGAAAATAGTGGTTCACATTACAAACAGTGAAGTTCTGACTAAATGCATAATGACAGGTATTGAAGCCATCCTCATGAAAATCCAACTCAGGTAGGCAGGACATCTCTCTTGTATGAATGATAGCAAACTTCCAAAACACCACCTCTTTGGCTAGCTTTTAACAAGCAGGTCTGTTGTAAGGAAACTCTTGCATTTCAAAGACAAACTCAAAGCAAAGTGATGCAGCATCTCAGAGCTGGGCGCCTGTCCTGCTTTTTATCTATACAAAGGTTGAATGAAGCTGATTTGGACATCAAGATCAACCGTGTACAAATATTAAATCAAGTTGGCAGCATACTACTCTTCTCAATGGCAACCTTGCCTGCCACTGCAGCTTAAAGCAGGTCATGCTGTTCACTTGCAGAAACATGTGGCATTCAATCCTCAACCACTCAAGTGAAATGGGTCTACCACATGTTCCATCAGTCTAAAAGTCTGCAAAACACAGGCAGGCCGCAGGAGACACACATGTCCATAGAAGTTGAACACTTCTTTATTTTACTGAGTCCTCATTTGTCATCGGTGACAAGAAAGACTATTTATAGATAAATAGTCAATGGATTTCATTGAATAATATATACAAAACAATAATTGGGACACCAACTTTTCTGTCACTCTGGTTTCTACCAATCAGGTAACATTAGGCAGTAAAATTTTACTGCTTGATGATACCCAATTAGTAGAAACTACAGTTGCAGAAAGATTGGGGTTTGAATAATTTCATATATTGTAAATTGCTCTACACTTGTTTTTTAAAATTGTATTGAGCACTTTTTTATTGATTTAAGCCGTTCTTTGGCAAATATTACTTTATATCAAAAGTTAAAATATATATTTTTATTTTAGGATATTAAAACATGTTAAAAAATTGCTACAAAATAGCAATTATGTTTCAACACCATAAATGTGTCTCCTGAGGTGATGTTAAACTAGTGAAAGATTAAAAGAGGGCTCAATACAGAAATTAAATTAAATGTTACATACAGTGGAATTATACTCCATTTGTTCCCATTTTATCTGGAGATATGTTGTTGTGGTGTGTGTGTGTATATATATATATATATATATATATATATATATATATATATATTTATATATATATATATATATATATTTTTTTCGAATAACAGACAGCTAATGATCAGGTGCTGTTCTAAGTTTCATATAGTTGGATATCTAACATTTGGATATTTTTATTATGCTTTTTTCACAAATGAGCAACAGCATAAAAAAAAAAAAAAAAAATGTTGGATAGTTTTTGTCTTCATTTTCTCCTGAAATTAAAGCAACTATACGAAGTTTAGAACAGCTCCTGATCAAACATAATAGACATTAGCTGTCTGTTATTTGAAAATATATTGTTATATATATATATATATAAGGTGTGGGTGGTGTTGACAGGTACATGGCCCAACTCTCTTCCCAGAATCTGACCAAATGAGCAAAACTCAATTTTTACTGGTTCCTTGGAATGTTGACAGTCACAGTCATTACGGGTGTTTTTTATGGCGCTCCAAGAGAAGGATTTTTAAAATTAGGGAAGTGATGAGTATTGATTTATCTAGTTATTTATTCTTTTATTATATCATTATATTATTTATTAAAATATTGTATTTATTAATGGTGAATATTTATTGGAAAAAAATACTGATCTTGATTGAGAAAGAGTATCTAAAAAATAAAAATTCTTTAATCAGAAACCAAAACATCAAAGAGCAAAGGTCAAAACTAATAAGGGAAAGGTGTGTAGCATGCATGAATGAAGAGGGAGCTGGATCCTACCTGGTCAGCAGGGGCGTGCATGGAATGAGTCATAAAAGCAAGGACATCATGGTCATCTGAAATACACAATGCTGATTGCTCACATGGAAGTCAAGATGGAGAAAAGATTAAAAATTTTTTTTTTTTTTTTTACTATATCATATTAACCCCTTTTGGAAAAGATGTTTAATTTTTGAATGATTTTTTTGTATTTGTTTTTAATATCGTATTTTTATGCTGATTATGTAAAATAACTTGTATTTCAATTTTTTTTCATTTTATGAATTATTTGGAATTATTTTTTTTACAAAAAAAAAAAAAAAAAAAAAATAGCACAATTACCTTTATTTGCAAATGTAAATGAATAGAATTATTCAGTCTGCCATGAAATTATTTTGTAATGTACTTTTTAAAGCATGGCACTACACATAAAAGTACTTGGTACAGTTTACACATATTGTGACTCTTTCCTGACTGGTTTCCCTCTAGGTTCACGTTTCTGAATGCACCAAACACATTTTTTGATGGATTTGCCTTTTTTCTCTTGCTAGGACTTCATCAAAAAATGTCCTCCTGGCCTATACTGAAAATCCTGGCAATTTCGAGGGTCTACCTGCTGATCTTTTTGGTGGTAAATCTGACCCATAATTTGCATACAGAATTTCAAGTGTGAGAGGGGTTTTGTTCTGCTTCATTGACTGCTTTGTTATACAGGATGTAAGCATTCCATACTACAATATCAATCAAATGGAACAAGACTTTCTTGTAATATTTCTTACCCAGTTTCCTTGGAACTGGATAATCCACAAGTTTTTGGTCCACCTTGTCAACTTCACCCATTGTATAATTGTAAACATATACAACTTTGGTTTTCTTTACAGGCCCCTGTCTCATCTCAATGTCCTGCATAGCTGGGTTGTGAATGGCTGAAAGCATTGCAACACCTTTTTTTTATCCTTCCAACAAAGAGTCATTACCTTGCCTCTGAAATGCTGCAACTCCTCCTTTTTTAACTGTTCTGGGATTTTTTTTTTTTTTGATTCAAACAGAATGTCCCATAAATATCAGTCTGGTTCATAACCAGAGCATCAGCTAATTTCAGACTAGTATAATAGTTATTCACAGTAAAAAAAAAAAAAAAACCTTTCCCAAGTAAGGTCTTCAAAGACAACCCAATACGCCAACTCATGGGATATTCATTATAGTGTACTTCTTGAACAGTATGTTTTGGATGTGTTTATTCATCTGTGTCTAAAAAAGACTTTCAGTAAAAATGTATATACATGTCTACACCAGTTAGGTGGTTAAGATGATTTTATTTTCATGCTCAATAATCATATTGTGGTTGGCCTGAAATAGTTACCTATTTTTCCTCACTAGTGTAAGAGATTGGGGTTTAAACCTAGATAAAACTAGACAGTACTTCCTCCTTGGAAAGGAGGAGGATATAAATTTCCTGTCTCCAAACCCAATTGTTTCATCTTGTGCAGAATTAAGCTAAAATTAGTAAATATCATCTGCTATTTTGAGATTGTCAAGGAATGTTACGAAAACTGAAAATATTTTTAAAAACAAAGATTTTGTATGACACTACCTTATGCCAAAGTCATAATCCTGTCCTTATTGCAAAAGGTTTCCATTCCTATTTTAAGATTTTAATAATTATTTTATTGAAAATTTATCTTTGTTTTTCATTAAAAACTTTAAATGTTAAGTTTTAAAAGATCCTACTCTCAACATGAGATACAGTAAAAAAAAAAAAAAAAAAAAAAAAAACTTCAAATTACACAAAGAAAAAATGATTGCATACAGTAAATGGATTTAACAAAAAAAAAAAAAAAAAAAAAAAAAAAATCATTTTAGGAAGGAGAGTCTATTCATACTGTAAATATAGTGTCAAATCAATCTCTGAAATTTTAAAGAATCACCTGTCTTCTGTTTTTATTTAAAAATGTCAAGTTTGGATTTTTTACGTCATTCTGAGAACTACTGATGATGTCCTTTTTTCCCCCCCATTCATAATAGCATGAAGTTATCGAATGCTTCTTGCTTTCCTGCCAACTTTGATCTTCTAAAAATTTCAATGCAATATCAATTGTTGTCTCGATTATGCTTATATTCTTCCCATTCCCTAATGTTTTGCTTTTTTTTTTTTCCTTCCACACTCAGTAACCCTTTGTGTCTTAGTGGCTTTACTGCCTTACATAAGATGATAGGATTTAAAAAAAAAAAAAGTTTCAAACCTGACATTTGTAAATGAAAATTAAGTACAAATAACTCTAAAAAAGTCTGGGATCAATTTTTTTTTATCATATTTATATTATTTATAGAAACCAAATTCTAAAATTATTTGGCAGGGGGGGATGGGGGATCAATATTTTTCAATTTAAATGTCATAGGTCAAGGAATGCCTAATGAATGCTAGTTTACAAAAATTGTCAAATAAATAAGTGTCCAAAACTTGTTCAGAAAATCAAGAGTTATGTCATCAGAATTATTAGGTTTTGAGGGAAAGTATCTCTAAAATGGCATCAAAGATTAAGTATAACAAATTAAAAACCAAAAAACAAAACTGCATATTGATATTTAGTAAAAATTACAGTGAATATCAAGTAATGTTAATGTATACATGATGGTTAGAGCTGAGCTTGATTCTTTTGTTTTCTGTACAATCCAAGATGGCTGAGTATGAAAAGTTAAAATTTTACTGGATTTAAGAACAATATTTCATAACATGCTTTTGAGTCAAGCCATGTGTATATATGTGAGATGCTCTAGTTTTCATGAGGCAGAATTTGCTATGATTATGGTAACTAAATAGTGTCAAAAAAATTGGGTGAATACAAAAATAGCTGTCAAAGTTTAACAGCCTTTTTTTAAGACATATTACATAGGAGGTTTCTCTTATGTAAGATTTGACATGCTATTTGCATATAGAAGATTAGATTTCTTTAATAATTCAAGATAAAACTGGGAACTGGACAAATCAAAGAGAAAATTATTCTTTTTCAAGATAAATGATATCTTGAAATTCAAAACTGTTTATTTACATGGAAATACAATGTTTGATTTTTGAGTTTAACTTAAGTGATAAAAAGGGGTTGCTGAATTAAAAATTATATATTTTGTTTTATAATTTCTACAAATTGCAGATTTCATATAATTGTAAATGTTAGAGAATTTCAAGGTCTAAGGACAATATCAATCTAAAGGGCAGTTTTGAATTCAAAATAGTCAAATGAAGTCCAAACTCATTCAGTTCATACAGACATAAGTTTATTAGTAGGTATCTGATTATTTTAAAAGTAATCAATTTTACAAATACTTGACTGATTACATGAATTCTTGATGTGAAACCAACTGAGGACAATAAACACCTCAAGCTATACCTGAAAGAATACATACGTAGATCTTTGATACTTATAGTGTCCCCACCCCCAACCCTTTTTTTCTATTACAAAGTAAAGGCAAAATACAATCTTGTTTACCAATGTCCTGGTAGTGGTTACCAAACATTTTTTTTCTCTGCTACATTTTCAAAATTAAAATTTGTTTGCATTTCACAAAATGTTATGTGATAAAAGTACATTTAAAAATAGAAAGAGAGTGAGGCTTAAAGGGAGATAACCATAGATTCGAAGTCAGAACATTATCATTGATAACTCTCTCCTCCAATTTGCAAACCCTAGTTGCTATGTTCTTAATACTTGATATGATGCAAAAATATCACAATAATGAAATTGGTCAATAATTACTTATAATTATTAATACTGAGACTCATGCATGCAATTACAAGTAATCCATAATAATATTTTAAGTTTTGAAATCATATTTATCTTTGGCATATGAATTTTTTGAAACTGTTTCTCGATCTTTGATCATCTTTCATTCTGCTTCATCTGCTTTACTCTTTTCTACTGCAGCTATGAGGCATGCCACACTGTTTGAGAACCACTGTGTTAATGATAGACAAAGTGTATACATTGTGATATCATTATTTGTCCAAGACAAATGTGATTTAAAAGAAAAAAAAAAAAAAAAGGTTATTCATGGTTCAAATGAAATGATACTGGTAATTAAAATAGTACAAACCTGCCAATCCTCCAGTTGCAGCAGTGATGCCAAAGAAGCCATTCTTGGGAAGCTGTACACCTTCCGTTCGCATACACAGTTCATATTCTTGACTATTTGACATACCATTGTGGATAAAAAGCTGGAAAAGACAGAGGTCTACTTCTGTACAAAGTTTAGAGGTTATTATTTACACTATTTATACTTGGACTATTGTCCTAATAAATCTTGTTGCTATCATTTCAGATGTGCCCCTACAGGGAATTCTGGAACTGAATTCTTTATTTAAGCTACTGTTCTTGTTCCACTGAGACATCTCATCTAGTTCTTATTTTTATTTTTAGTGTTGCTCAGTTATTGCTCATCAATTTCCAATGAGTACACACATTGCACTACTCAGAGATTGAACTCATAATTACTGTGTCACCAAATTTATGGACCAATGCAATCCACTAGGCTATTGTCCTGTAGGACAATTCTGTGGTGAACTTGGAGCCTTAAACCTAACCTGCTTACTGATTTATGCAGCTACTGCCTATCATGCTTGACTGTTGCTTTAAATGTAATGTATATGATTTGGGTATTTAGCATAATTATTTTCTAACATCTCTACCACACTTTTTTTGTATTTACAGGCTTAGAAAATCAGCAATAAAGTAGTTACCTCAACATTCAAAGTTACTAGATTGAACTACAAATAGTAAATTCAATAACATTTGAACGCCCAACACCAATACATTTTGAATTGACTTCTCATTAGTAACCCAATTCCAGATTATTATAAAAGCTGTTAGTATCTGTAGAGAAAAATAGTGATGAAAGCGGGTCAAAAAGTGCACTGTGGTGCTCACTGACAGGTCAGTTTTTTTTTTCTTCTTTGGTCACCTCAAGGAAATGGATTGCATGGCTCCCTTTCTCAACTGTGACACTGGGCAGTTGTGAAACAGACACCAGCTCAGCCGCGCCTACTTTGACTTCCTCTTTGTCCATCTGTCAATCCGTATGTCCAGCTCTATTGCATGCTGTCCGCCAAATGACTGGTTCTGTCGTGCTGCTGGCACCCTGCTTTTTATGCTATTCCAATATGGCCAAAATTTGCAAGTGTGCAAATATCGTCTCGTTTTGGACAAGATATGCATATGTCTTCAATAGCGGCCATATTTTTTTGTGTTATCACTTTGCAGGCAAGACACATTCGCACTAGTTTCGAATTCTGAGGTCAGTCATGTCTTTTGTCAAATTCAAAATTTAGTAATAAGAAATAATACAAGGTTCCCACAGATCTGTGTAAAAAAAATTCCATGATTTTTCCAGGACTATATTAAGAAGTTGCAAGGACTTAAACTCACACATACACACAAAGCAAATGGCCATCAATTTCAAAAATAGAAACTTTGTAATTTATCTTTTAATATTTTGACAGATGAGATGTTCAAAGAAAAGCTACAGCTGGTTCCAATAATTCATGTCACATACATCAGTTGAAAGCAGTCAAGTGGTTAAGGCTAAAACACAGTTGAATGCAGACCTGGTTATGTTACACATTTTGTGTAGCATTTTACATAGGTACCTCCACGAAATCACTAAAAAGAAAAAAGTGCATAGTCTGATGAAAAAGACGCCAAACTTTATGAGAACAAAATTTTATCGTCTAAATGCTTATGTTTTTATGAAGAGGAAAGACCAAAGTTTTTTTTAATTATTTTAAAAATTTTTTCCTTTTTAGAACATTCTAAATTTTGATTAAAAAAACCTTGTTTCTCTTTGTATCAACAGGGGCTAGTAAATAACATGGACAATTTTTAGCAGTTTTTTTTGTATTACACACATTAATTTGGAAAATGTTGCAAAAATAAAAATAATTGTCAGATGTTAATGAAACTTTCAGAAACTATTCACAGATGATCAAAATTATTATAAAAATGCTTTTTTTTTTTTTTTTTTATTAAAGTCATAGCAGAAATATTTTTTTTTTTAATATTTATTAACACCCCCATTACTAATTTTATGAAAAACTCTAGAAATTCAAGTGCATCATCTTTAGTGATTACAATAGTTAAAAGCACAAGGCTTTGAAGAATGCAAATCATGTTTTTTTTTTTTTTTTAATTGGATCTGCGGTACCTGAAAATCAGCTCTGAATGGTAACATACAAAACTCAATAAAACAAATATATTATTTAATTTCAAATGCTTTTATTTGTTTTTTATGAATATGGACAATATTTTCTGAAAGCAAAAAATTTTTTCAATGAAAATTGAATTTTTAATACAATTATTTGTTATTTCTTTAATTATAATAGATTTTTACATTAATTTTTAAAAAAATATTATAACATTAGTTAAAAGCGACATCAACCTTTCTAAGTGTCCTTATGATATTGTCATTGTCTAGCGCTTTGAAATTTGTATCATTTGGACCAATCAGAAGATCCGCAGTAATTAAGAAATGTAATTTTGTATTTATAATCGGGCGGTAATTATAAAGTACGGAAGACCAACCAGAATACAATTTAGTTGCATTATTTGAGTTCAGCAATGTTCTCCGCTGTTAAGGCCTTTACTTTTGTGAAACCCGTATGGAGAAGTTAATTTGATTTTTCAATTTCAACTGAGAAGGGTACCTATAAGTATCACTATCATCTTATGAAATTTAACTACTGCTAAACTTTAATTTATATGATCTTATTTTTATATTAATCTCAGTTATGACATTTTTCCATAAATGAAATATCAAAATTAATAATAAAATGAATGGAAATACAAATAACACAGTAAAATGTAATAAATGTACATAAAATTATAGTATTTTATGTACACTTCTGATAAAATTTCATAAGAAAGGTACCTATAAATTAATTAGATACCTTTTTCTTATGAAATTTAATCTCACTCTTAACAGTCTTATTTTTTAATTTCTTTATATTTTCCATAAAGCATCGTAAACGTCTTTTGTCACCTGTCAAATGATGTGAAATCTTTGCAGCATCTTTATACCATGTTTGGGTTTAACAAAAAATTCTTACAAATTCATTTATCTTGGAAGATGTAATTATCTTTTTAGTGCGCTCTTCCTTTACAAATCATAACAGATTCATGACCATGCTAAAAAGATCATCTGCAAGGAAAGAAAGCAATGGTTTATCGTTCAGATATATTATCAGAAACAGTTCAATGTCTTTCAAACAGACACAAAAATTTGCAGTTTCACTGGAAATAAACCATCATTCACATTTGACAGCACTGCAGATAATGACATTTTCATGTTTTTTTTTTTTTTTTTTTATCAAGTTCACAAATTTGATGAAATTTGGCCAAATGTTTTGGATTCTTTCATATGTTTGTACATTTTCTAGCATTCTATGGCAGAAATACAAAAGTAAAGGAACAGGGTAGCTAGATTGAACTTTTAAAGCCAAGCAATGAAAGCCAAATAAGTTAATATATTCCATCATTTTTCACAACAAAAATGAGAGATACAGGTCATTATTAACATGCAAATTTTAAAAACAACATTCTTATTTTTTCAAAGATGCATTTTCTATCCTAAGATACATCAAAGGCACATTTTCTATTCTACCATCCTTCTTGTCTAATTTTCTTCGAGTCAAATTTGATTCTCAAACTTGTTATTTTTGACAAAAATTTAGACAAATGTAGTTTACACATTGACTGGACGTGTATTTATTTTTTCAGCATGAACTCATCCACCACTGACTAGAGATCAAAAGAACTTTTTACTTTGAAAATTGACATGTGAATAACATTTTCAATTAAAAAAAAAAAAAAACTTGTGATTCTACCAAAATGTATTTTATTACTATAAAATAATTTATATCCCTTTCAACTACAAATTCAGTGAGTGTGATTTAATATATCTTTGACAAAGATATTTACTTGTCTCTGACATTTTTTATCTTTGCTTTTCCTTTTGTTGAGTGAGGGTAACAGGTAGGAGAAGATACGCCTTCATATTCTTTCTCCCTAGACGAGAAAATACAGAAGTAACCACAAGGTAATGAACTCATTCTAATCAAGGAAACAAACCACCATTGGCAATAATTACTAAATATTACTGATTACTAAAAAACACTTTTCTAAAGGACAATTTCAGCTTGCCATTTTGACTTTTATGAATTGAAAAAAAAAAAAAAAAAAAAAAAAATTAGAAAAATTCAGAAAAGGAAAATTCTTGAAAATGCCCTGTATATTTTCTAGGAATTTAAGATTTCCAGGATCTGTACAAACCATATATATTTTTATATATATATATATATATATATATATATATATATAAAATGCAGAGTGGATATACTCACAGTGAGGGAATTCTTGTAGTATTCAATTTTGGCATGGAGTGGAAAAGGTTTATTTCTGAAATCCCGCAAACAGCCACCAAGCTGCTGGTCATGACCATCACTGTATAAACAAGCACCAAAACAAAAGCAAATGACTAAAAATCATATACACGAATTACTATTGAGGTTAATTTTTTATTATTACCAAGAAAATTTTCTTTAAGTATTATTTTTCTCTAAGATATCACATATGTATGGATGGACGAGTGATATTATAGTTATCAGCAAGGAAAGTGGTATCAGCATGCCTTGTCTGTTGCATTCATTTTAACACTAATAGCCATGAGAAAAGTATGAATCCATTTCTTCTTCTGCCCAGTTATGGGTTAAATAGCAAGGTAGACCTGGCTGTCTAGCCTTGAGTAACTGCCAGTCTAAGAGAAGGGCTATTCTGAATTCCAAACTGTTGAGAAGTCAATGGAAACTACTCCACTATCTTACTTGTAAATATTTTAATGCCTCCAAAACAAAACTGTTTTCATTTAATCGCCATAGAGAAACTTTTCTACCTTCTATCAGCTTGGCTAATGCTAACCACCAAGAGAGCAACTCTTGTGCCTTTTCATGTTTTCCACTCATATGAAGTGGAGTGATTATATTGAATCAATTGCTAGATCTAGTGCTAGGAAAGTTGGTTCACTGTGTTGTGCCAGACAATTTTTCTCATCAGAATCCATCTTGTACATTTATAAATCTACCATTTGTCCATACATTGAATATTGCTGCCATATCTGGCCTGCTGTTCCTACTATATATCTCAAGGTTCTTGATAAAATCCAAAGAAGGGTTTGCAATCTAATTGATCCTGACCCAGCATCTCAACTTTAGTCACTATTCCACCACCATGATGTAATTTCCCATTGTCTTTTCTACAAATTATTTTCATGGCAATTGTTCTGATTGGTGCATGAATTTAAGTGTACTGATAGATCTCACCATTTTACTGTTCAATGTAACTGTAAATTATTCACTGTTTTATTGTTAAACTAGCTAGATGCAACCATCAGTTCTATTTTAATAACTTCTTTCTTGTACTTCTAACCTGTGGAACTCTTCCAGTTTCTTGCTTCCATGCCACCTACATTATTCAAATTTTTAAATGCACATCAACCAACAACTTCTGTCTTCCAGAATCCTGTCCTTTTATTGACCTTTCATCTCACTAAAGTCTTCTCATTCATTTCCACCCCTAGTAACCCCTTGTGTCTTAGTGGCATTATTGCCTTGTTTGGAATGAAATGATTAAAATAAAAACGGATGGTAATTTACAAATAAAGAAAATGCATCTATGGCGATTCATGAACACCTATGTTTTGAAGGGCCATAGCAATTTAAATTAAGAAAAAAAATGCATCACATTGCAAGACTTGACCATTCTGAAACTATGCAACATGCCTGAATATGACAACTAATATTTTAATTTATTTTTTTTGGTGGGGGCGGATAGAAATTTATATATTCAGACCATAATTCTAATTAAAGTATGCCGATTCTTTTTTTCATGGACAGTAACAAATATTTGTAAAATCACTCATTCAATTGGTTAATATCAGTCATCAATTCATAATCCATAAGCACAAATCATACAGTATAGTACAATTTTTTACAAGGATAAAGTTGGATTTGTAAACAAGAAATATATGAAATCTTTATAGAGAAACAGTTACAATGAAAGCATCTCAATACTTACTTCATGTGATCATATTCTCTGGTTCCATTGTTTAGCATCACTAGGATGTAGGGATTGTTACGCTGCACAAAGAAAATGTGAAACAAAATTCAGATTCACAACACAGAAAAAGATTTCACATTAAATGTATGTGATCCACCTACCAAAATACACACAAACACTGGAGTTTAGAGGGAAATTGTTTAATCTGTTGTATTAAAAAAAACTAACAAATAAAAAATAAGTGGAGGGAATATAATTATTAAATGTTCATCTATTCAACAAATCATGAATGAGAATTAACTTTCATTAACACAGGATCACTTTTAAAAGATAAAAAAAAAAAAAAATTGGAGATTATAAGTCTACCATTCATTCATTCATGCTTAGAATATTGCTGCTATATATGGTCCGGTGCTCCTGCTATTTACCTAGAGCGCCTTGATGAAATCCAAAGAAGAATCAGCAATATTATTGGTCCTGATCTGACCCCTCAGCTTCAGTCACTTTCTCACCACTGTATGGTTGCCTCCCTTCGCCTTTTCTATAAATACTTTCATGTAATTGCTCACTGTCCCGACTATTTCATGGAGAAGCTAGTTGACACTTTCTTCATAACTGGATGGTCCACACCAGCTCCATTCTGGCAGGGCAGCCATGTACTCTCTTTGTTCAGAGACTCTTTGTTCAGCACATTAAATGCTGTCTCTTTGACCGATGAGGGTAGGTACCGTTATCAGTAGTAGTTGACTGTTCTGTTTGCATTTCATTTCCACTACAGTAAGTTTCAAGTATAAAATAATTTTGAGGAGTAGATAACAGACATTTTGTGTCTTAATTTTATTGATTGACTTTTTCAAATTATGAATGATCCTTCTTAGATAAGGAGGAAATTCAATCAGAAATTTTCCAAAGTTCCTTTCAGTAGAAACATGGTCCACACTTTTTGACTTTCAGAAGTCATCATCAGAATAGGTAGAGACAGATGGTGAGTTTCATGGAGCTAGTAAGTGTAGTAATGTAGGCAAGGTGTGATACGTTTTTATTGCTTTTCTTTTCTTTATATATTTGAGGATGAAGGCTCTTAAATTATATTTCTTTCTATTTATAGATGGTTTTTATTGTATAAATATTGCTTTCAGGATTATAAGTCTGTTTTTATTATTTGATTTTGCAAGTATTTTGGTATTGTTTGTGAGTATCTCTCTACCTACCCTGATGATGACAGATCATATTTCTTCCAAAATGAACTTTGGACAATTTCTGACAGAATTTCTTCCTTACTATAAAGGATTACTCACAATTTGAAAAAGTCAATCAATAAAAATTAATGAACACAAAATGTCTGTTACCTTAAAAAATATTTGCTGCCGACACAGAATATATATGCATCAAATGAAAAAAAAAAAATTATGATTTTTATATTCTGTTTGTATTATACAATTTTTATCTTAAAAATATTTTACATATGAAAAAAAAACAACAATAGCAAAATTCACAGTAGTTACACAACCAATTTTCTCTTATAGAAATTTACTCCACATTTAACTGTGACAAAACTAAATTTTCTATGTTGTTTTGAACACATTTTAAAAGAAAACACACTTCAAATATTGCATAAATATTTTTTTTCAAAACAGTAAATAAACATGATAGTCACAGCAGTTATTTTGTAGGTGTATAATTTATTGTCAGTGGGCATCAAGACATAAAACCATACAATTACTAAGTAACAGCTGCACTAAGCAAATTATGATTACAATTTTTAAAAAGACAAATTGAAGAAAAATAAATTACGACTTGTTCAAAGTAAAAAAAAAAAAATGTATGCAGATGTTATGCCATAGCAATTGGAACTCTCTATGTGAAGTTAAGGTTTATAAAGTATTTGGAAATAAATAAAATAAATGCCTATCAATGAAGAATTATTTACATTTGGACTAATATCCTCATCTCTGTTCTGGCATTTAGACTGTTGTGCCCTTTGGTTTCCTTCAGGTGTCTGTTCATCCCGGTAAGCATCAGACCCTTTATTTTAACATATGGTAGGGTAGATTGTTCTCATGCCACTGTTCATGTCAATAGTAATCTTGTGTTGCACTTATCCCAAGACATGGACAGGAGAACAATTTACCCCCCATAGATTAAATAAAAAGGTAAAGTTCAAAAAAATTCCCCAATGGTTACCAGAATCAACAAACACCTGAAGGGGGCTGGAAAGCACAATGTTGTGATCATAACAAAGAGGAGGACGTAAACGTAAATGTAAATAATGTAAAATTCTTTTGAACCAGGTTTACATCCTTAAGATAGGATCCAGCTGACATTAAAGAAATGTCCATATATCAATATTAATTGGTTAGCACACACACAATAGACAAACAAAAGACAAAAACAAAAAAGAAAAAAAAATTATCATAAGAAGAAAGAAAAAGAAAGCATGAAGCTGTATCAATCTTAAATTAACAAATTCATTATCAAATGCATTAATATGAATATTATTTACATTATTCAGAATATTGTCCTAATCTTTGTCGCCATATTTACTACAACATTTCAGCCATTGTACACTCCGGTCGTCTTCAAGTGGTTGGAATGTATAACCGAACACTTTATTTTTCTCAGTTGGGTAGACTGTTCTAGTTCCACGTGCCATGTTTAATGGATGTCAGTTATCAGTTATCTTCTGTTAATTTCCCTCTGAAAGTTCTCCACTGCCGTAACTGGGTATTGAACTCACACTCCTTGGATCCCGTCACTGGATCTAACCAACACCTTTATCCACTGTGCCATGTGTCCAAAGAGTGTAGGTTCAATACCCAGTTAAAGCAATGGAGAACTTTCAGAGTTATAATGTGAACAATAATGGCAAATTATATAAATAAATAAAATTTCTAAAGAATTCATAGATTTTATTTTTTTAATCCAATATATTTTTATTATTTAAAATGTCATTACTTAAAATTTTCTTTTTAGGTTTTTCAAATACACAAGGCAGTGGATGAAAAATATCCTATATATATATATATATATATATATATATATATATATATATATATATATATATATATATGTATGAAGAAATATAGTCTTAAGGTGTGCTATATTTATGGGATAAAGTGCTCGATATCAGAGATAGAGCATGTAAAATATAAAAGTGAACATAAAGTCAACACTTAGAGGTGACAGTCTGTTTCATGCTATATGCAATCGTCAGGCCACATGTGCTGTTATTTTTCTTGGCATGAAACAGACTGTCACCTCTAAGTGTTGGCTTCTATGTTCACTTTTATATATATATATATATATATATATATATATAAGAGAGAGATATCTTCATTTTGTTGCTGAAAAAACAGCATAGCATGATGAAAAAAGGTCCCAAATTTGATAAAAACAAAGTTTTATCATCAAAAAGAGGAAAGCCCAAACTGTTTTTTTTTTTTAATTATTTTATCAAATTTTTTAATCCCTTCTAGCACATTTGAAATTGTTAAAAATTTTGTTTTGCATCAGTGATCGGCGTAATATTTACAATTAATTTTTTCACTTTTTTCAGGTGAAAAAAAATCATTGATTTGGAAATTCTTGCAAAAAAAAAAAAAAATCAAATTGTTCGATATTTAATTTATTAGTTAAAAGCAGAACTCCTTGGAGAATGTAAATCATCAATTTTTTTTCTATTTTGCAATATTATTTAACGGTTCTTATAATTAGTAAATCTTGTAGTTTTGACATTTTTATCAAGTATCATCTAAATCTTATATTTGGTACATTGACATCTGTATGGGCCATGCAAGATTTATTTTTTAAGTATAAAACTAACATGCTTACAGAAATATAATTTAATATAGATCTTCCAAGCTTACCTGAGCATCATTGTCAAAGGAATCAAAAAAGATACCCAGGCCATTCCATTTGTCATTGCTGCCAAACACTGGACCCTCAACACCTTTCTGTTGTGTGTACCAAATGGCCTGAAAGGTAAAGCAAAATGAACATTAACACTACCTAAAAATTAAAATAAATCACATTGTAAATTTAGTGGGTAAAATGCTTTTGAAATTACTACCAAATACTCATCCTACAGATGAAGAAATATAAATTGTAATAGTTTTGTTAATGTTTTTATTAATAATAAAAATTAATTTAAAAATTCTTCTTTTAAATATTTAAATAATTTTGTATTTCTTTTATTATAACAATGAAACTCAACTGCAGATTCCTTTCACTTATTGAAAATTTAATTTGCAATTCATTTATACTTTATTCACATCTTTTTCAATTAAATCCTATTAAAGTGAAATTAAAATTTAATACATTTAATTTTGTAATGATTTTATTAATACTAATAATTCAAATTTTTGTATTAATAAAAAAATAATTCGGCAAACTTACTATATTTTGGTAGAGTTTTAGGAAAATTTAATTAAATTATTTAGACAAAATTATTTTGGCTTTGCTTGACTAATTTGTCATGTTTACACATTATGGCAGATTATTATAGGTCATGACAACAAAACTGAAAGAAATAAAATCGTTGCCAAGTTTAAAATTCTATAAAAATTATTTACTTTGTCCACTTAAAAAAATTACTTTTACAAGAACAAAATCACATTTATTTTACATTTTCTTTATATGTAAATAAACTGATATTTTATTTCTGTTAACTTCTGACAACTTCGGTAGAGTGAATATAAATTCTTTCTACACATACACAATGGATTTATAAAAAACAAAACAAAAAACATCATCAAAAGAAACATTGCTTATATATAGCAAGTTTTAACATTTGCATTAAAAATAAATAACATGAAATATTTATTTAATATATGCTTTTAAGATTTTTTTGATACAAATTAAATGTTACTGCTTATGTGGAAAATGCCATTTGTTATATATAAAAAGCTGATAGGGAAATTATTGTTTAACAATGAAGGGTGTTTGGTGCTATTGATGTAAGGTGGATACACAGACAAAATTTAGACTTACATAAATTTATAAAAGACATTACAAACATTAAGAAATTAAGTTACACTAATATTGTTAATTTTCAGGCTATTGTATGTCATACAAAAATAAAGACAAAGGTTTATTTTATGCTATTATATGCCTAAGTTTCTATCTATATTTCTGATATGAAGTATTATGTACACTATTTACATTATTCGGACTATTGTCCTCATTTTTGTCGCCATAAAGGGTTCAGTTCAACATTCCAATCACCTGAAGAAGGCTGGAGCATACAATGGCCAAAATGTTGTAATAAATATGGCGACAAAGATGAGGACAATAGTCTGAATAATGTAAATAGTATGCCTATGTTAGTTTGGAAATAGTACTTGTTAGTTAATGACACAAACACTAGAGCCTGACATTTCCTAGGGTCTTGATAACTAATATGTAGGTAGTGTAAGTTTTCCTAAAGATGCCTAAGTACACCTTGAAAATGCTTATACACATCAACAGAAGGCCTAAACACATCAACAGAAGGCCTAAACACATCAACAGAAGGCCTAAACACATCAACAGAAGGCCTAAACACATCAACAGCAGGAAAAATGTTAATCTGTTAGATTTGTATTAAAAATGTTCAAAGAATACTCTAAAATTCCTTTTCAACTAATTTATAGTTTATATAAGGCTATATGACAAATTAGAATTAATTGATAAAGGCCCTAATACATTTATTATGTCAACATTTTATAATTTAGAAACAATATTTATGTAGTAAATATATTTATAAATTTTAAGCACTGTACTATTTGACTATTTAAATATTTCCTTGCCAAAAAGAGAGGAAAGAAAGTACTCAAATACTCACCAAGCCATCAGCCCCTACACGGCCCCGACCAGTTACTCTAAAGGCCACTTCAATCACCCAGTTGTCATGTGGAACAGAGTTTTTACTCCATACCCAACCTAGAATATAACAGAAGTAAGTTTCAATTTAAATCCCAGATAAAAACAAAGTAAAAAACAGAATAGGAGAATACACTATGGACAAACATAAACTTGTTTATATATTATGCTTTTAAAAAAAAAAAAAAAAAAAAAAAAAAAAAGTGTCAATTTATTTAAAAAAAAATTTACTATTGAGTATGTCAATTTTAGATAAATCCGATGTTTGTGTGTATACGCAGGGTGTGGCAGAAATAGCTCCCACATTATAAACCGTCACCTGTGTGGTGCTAGTGAACTTAGGCAAGTGGCAATGGTGTATTCACCTAATGTCTTACTATTAGGTGAGAGGGATTTTTCTGGGAGGTATTTCCACCAGACACTGTATTTACCCAAGAGAAAAGAATTATTGATGGTAAAATAAGTTAAAAAGACTTAAGACCTCAAAGATGATGAAATAATGACTACCTTGAGATCTTGCTGTAGTGATTTATGTGAAATTTATTTACCTTTCTTACTTCTAAGGGAAGGTGTGATTCGAACATTGTCATCTCCAGCTATAGCATCTGAAAGAAATAAAAGTAAGATTATTAAACAGAAAAGAAAGTAATTCAAAATGAACAGAATAAAATCCTTACATTTGCCTTTATAAAACATGTCAGCTAAGATAAGCTTTCCTTTTGTTTTTATATATATATATATATATATATATATTATTCAATTGCATAGATAGTAGTTTGTAACCCTGATCAAAAGTGTGAAATCTGTGGTTACAAACTATTCATGCAATTGAATATGTTAACTCTCTCACAGATATTGAGCACTTTCCACTAAGTACTGTGTGTGTGTGTGTATATACACATACATACAAGCTTAAAGTGTGCACACTGTGTAGACTTTTAAACTAGCCCCTGCAGAAGACTATAGGGACCTCTGGCTCAGCTTAGAAGACAGCAATGATAATTTTGAAGAAATAATTTTGAATTCCTCAATTCAATCCATGGAACATCAAAACCTCACTTTAACCCCGATTCAGGCTAAAAAATGATTTTGGTCGGAAGTCTGATTTGGGCTGAAATTTCAATTTGGGTTGAAAATGGAGTTCTTTAAATCAAAAACTATGTGGAATTTCAATTAAGTGGAATTCATCAAATTACAAACTCTACAGAATAAATCCTCACATCACAAAACATCTCACTTTAACTGATTCCTTGACATTTTGAAATAAAATTGATTTCAAAGTTTGAGATATTTTAAACTGAATTTGAAATAAAATTCAAAGTTTGTGTGTTACTTTAAACTCAATATAAATTAAAACCTTTTAAAATCACTAATTTTTTTTCAGATATTTTAAAATTTGATTTTTTAACTGTTCCTTCCTCATCCAGATACAAATCCCAATGCTGGATGTTCAGGCATCAGATGATGGGTAGATTTTCAATCTCGGGACCATCCTGATTCCAAAAAGGTATAATATGTCTATGTAAAGCAAATATATATATATGCAAAATATGATCTCAAATATGAATTTGAATGAATTTTTAACTAATATGAAATTCAAAATCATTTTTTTTAATACAATAATGGCTTTTAGACTTGTAAAACTAGTGTACTCATGATGGCAACTCTAAGAAAATTTTAATAGTGAGATGCAATGAAACAAATGTCTTGAAACAATGTCTTGAGATTCAATAAAGCAGGGATAAAGAATTCACACCTAAAACTGAAGCCAATGAACCTTTAATTAATCCATTCCTTTATATTTTTTTAGACATTCAATGGTATCTAGGATGCATGGATTACACCTTGTTATATAAATTGCTTTTTGCTCAATATTTTTCATGTTAAAAAAAAATTTCTGTTTGACATAACAGTGAAATGGAAATATCTCTCAGAAAAAAAGATTAGCAACAGAATGAAAAGACGGTGACAATGAAACCTATTTAAGACCAAGTTGAAGATGATCACTTAATAGACAAAGGTATTAGATTGCCTCACATAAAGGGCTTGAACAAATAAGACTGCAATCTAAGAAATGTAGGAATTAAGGAACTGATTAATTAAACTTCATTTTGCTTGGGAACTAATTGTCAAAAAATTTATATTTTATTTGTATAGAATATTAAAATGACTAAGGGAAATAACCACTCATAAATTTATTAACTTATGTTGATTTACTTCCCTTCCCACTACAGATAGGACAGGAAATATATAAATACACACTGATAATTATATGGTTTGATGATGGTAATTAAAACTTGAAGCATGGCATGCTTTACTAAAGGCCAAATTCTAATGCATCTTTCACAAGGAACTAGAGGCCTATTTCAAATCTTGTCATTCCACTGAGAGTGAAGACTTTTAGTTTGGTTTTGTAGTAGTTCACCGCTTTAATCAGTTTAAGAAATTCAAAAGAAAAAAAGAGATTAAGAACATAATTAATTTGGCTGCAAAAAATAAATCATCTTTCTCTTGATATACATTGTTTTTCTTTACTGATGCCTGATAACAGTTAATATATAATTTGGCAGAATGTTGGATCCATTACTTCCCACCTGGTTAACAAAGGGTGTACAAAATGTTATAAGCCTTTTAATCTTTGAATTAATTATCCACATTACAACAGTTTTAATAAAACAAAAACCATATGGGAACTATGAATTCTGAAACAAAAATGAAAATGAACAGGAAAGTAACTTTTTTATTTTATTGTTTAGAATTAAAATAATTATTGTTATACTGACTTATTTTGTCATAAATATACTTTTTTTATGATTATAGAAGTAGGAGTAGAAAAAGAAAATTAACTCTTAAAAATGCTTGGTTTAGCAGCAAGGTTAGGGTTAAATTTTTCACACCTCATTTACAGTATCTAAAAATATTGGACTAAATTTAATTATAACATTAACTTTACATAATTTTCTTAAAGGATTTTTCATTAAAATATAAAATATCACATTCGCTCTTATTTTATGTTTTTTAATGTTAAATTAAGCTAAAATTCAACATAAAAAAAAAATCTTTTAGAAAAAAAAGAACAATAATTACCCATACAAAATTAAATTTTATTATCAACATATTTGTTGTTATGAATAAGAATTTTTCTCTATGATATACAGAGAAAAATATTAAATTAACTTTATGTAACAATAGCATTTAGAAATAAATTTTGCAGTGTAGAAACTGAATGAAAAATAGGACTGTTAAAAATTAAAGATAAAATATTAAAATGAACTTTCTTGGGAGGTACTAACATTTATAAGAGTCTAGAAAAAAAATTGGATTAATGAATTATTTCTTTAAATAAAGTAAAATTTAACTTTGTTTTGGTGTAAGAAATACGATAAAAAAATTCATACTTTTTTCATTTGTTAGAAACAGAAATACAGATTATACAAGAGTAAAGTTTATCATTAGTGTATTTGCTTTTATGAATAAGAATTTCCTATAGAAGAGTATTAGATTGATATGAGAAATGTTAAATTAGCTTCGAAGTAACAAGACCAAGTTTCTGAAATTACAGATATTAGTGAATTTTGCACAAAAAAAAAAAAAAAAAAAACAAGTTTGCTTTTGTAATTAAAACATAAAATAGCAAGTCCGAAGGAAATAAATGTTATTCTTCAATTAAATAAGCTGAAATTATTCCAAATGTAAAAAGCAAAAGTTTCTTAGGCCAACTGCATCACCAAACTACCGCAAACCAAAACTGAAACTAAAAGACCTTTGCTCTCAGTGGAACAATGAGATTTGAGATAGATCCCCAGTTCTATGCAATAGTTACGCTATGGCAAGGGATTAATAAAGTATGTGCAGTTGCATGCAGCCAGTCATTTCTCAACAATTGTAAATTTACATAACACATCATATAAATAACAAATATTATGATTGTCAGAGATCAGATCTGTTAACAGATAAAGTTGAAGCTACTAAAACAAGAAAATATAAAGTATTGGAAGTGTCATCTCAATTTCCAACCTACAAAGTTTATGAGTGGTCATAAACATAAAAACTGTATGAATGTTCAGAATGTCTATTGGGACTCAAATGATGGTGGACATTTGCTAGATGCTCTTGTGCAAACATGCTGCATGCAAAGTACACAGCACTGGCAAAACAAAAAAAAAAAAAAAAAAAGCCAAAAAAGGCCAAACAAAATTTGCTTCTGTTTGCTGTACCATTGCATTATGGAAATAGTAGTAGTATTAGACAAGTAGCAGTAATAAAATGTGTGGGTGGTGTAATAGATATAAGCTTGGAATGAGAAATTGCTGAACTGAGTTTGAATTCCACTTGAGTTCATTATGTTCACTTATGCGCAAGTACCCTTAGGAAAGGATAGGAATCCATCTGTTCTCCTTCCAGCTATGGATTGAATAGCAGGATAGAATGGGTCCTATAGTTTTGATTGGTAACCAGTCTACCATAGAAAGAAATGGCAACCTACAACAGAAAAATCTTCTGCCTAGTCAGTTATTTTTATTTATTTATTTTTTTAAAGCATTTCACCCCAAGCAAGGCGGGACTGACACTAGCATGCAAGGGGTTACAGAGAGTGGGAGCAAGAGTAAAGAGGTGTGAAAGATGAAGAGAAGGACGGGGAATAGATCAAGGCATCTGAAGAATTGTTGGAGATTATAGCTATCAGGGAAGCAAGTAAGAGGAAGGGAGTTCCACACACGGGAAGTACGAGACATGAAGCTATCGTAATAGAAGAGACGACTACATTTAACAGTTTCGACAGTGAAAGGGTGGGACTGAGATGCCAACCTAGTAGCATGCTTATTCATGCAGTTTGGGAACCAGTGAAAAAATACTATTAAGGAGAGAGAACAATAAAAGAACATGAATTAGAAGATAATGACTGACATTGCAATTAAATTTTTGAAGATCAAAATCGACTGGAAAGCAAGAAGCTTGAAGAGAGGTCCACAAGTAAGAAGTGCAATAGAAGAAACTGTTAGCATAGAACTTATGTTTACATCTAGCAGCCATTTCAACTGTAAAATGATGAGACCTTGCTGCCAATCTAGTACTGCGCTTAATTCATAAAGTCTAGGTACCATAGAGCATCAGAAAAATTACCATGAAAGGGTTTATAGAAGACACAGGGAAGCTACATTGTAGCGGTGGAAATGACTGAAGCCAAGATGGTAGGTAAAGACCAATAACATTGCAGATTCTTTGAATTTTATCAAGAATTTCTAAATATATAATAGGAACACCAGACCAGATGTGGCAGCAACATTAAAAGCATGTATGAATGGTACACTTATAAATACGTAAGATAGATTCTAGAGAGAAAAATTGTCTAACACGACACAGTTAACCAACTTTCCTATCAGCAGACCTAGCAATTGATTCAATATAATCTTTCCACTTCATATCAGCGGAAAAAGTTAGTCCAAGAAAATGTAATAAAACACTCTCCTGGAAGTTAGCATCAGTCATACTGATGAAAGGCAAAAAACGGATCCCTCAGATGATTGATAGAGAGGAGTTTTGTTTTCGAGGTGTTAAAATTAACAAACCATGCCTTGCCTCAGTTAACAATTCAGAGAACAAA